GGTGACCTGAGGTGAAGATGCTGAGCACCTGGTGGCCAGGGAAACTCCCACTCATCTCTCCTGCCTGCACAGGAGCAAAGACCAGGAAAGGGCCTCTTCTGGCTCTCAAGCTATCGACAAATGGGAGGAAGAGGGAAGTAGAACAAGTTCTAGCTGGGTGGAGAGGATGCTGGCCCCGGACTGAGGAAGCATGGGTCCCTGAGCCAGCTCCAGCTGGAGACAGAAGCTGCACAGAGGCAGAACCCAAGATGGGACCAGAGGGAGGAGGGAGGCGAATCAGGAGCACAGCCTCATGCCTGCTGGGAAGCAAACAGCCCTGCCATCAGCCAGGCATCGCTGGTGTGTAGCAGGCATTCCCTACAGGGCCTTGGCCAAATAATACTGGCCTTGGACTCACGGCCAGAGCCCTCTCACCCCTCTATGAAGAGAATTATTGTGTCAGGAGGCCAGAAAGGCCCAATAGACCACTGTCTTGTGCAGAGCTCCTGACTCTCGGTTCTCAAATGGGCAGCTGGAGATTCAGGAGGTGCTGACAACTGCTCATAAATAGACAAATAAGCATTTTTTTCTAAAACAGGGTCTGTGGTTTTGGCAAATTCTCAAAAAAGCCGAGTTCAAAAAAAAGAAAAGATTAATAACTACTCCAAAACAAGGAAAAGGTACCAAGAAGAGACAAAAAACAAAAAAACAAAAAATCAAGAGAACAGATCAGAACCAAAAATAATAAAGTGACGGATAGACAAGATGGGAAGGATACAAGACAAACATTAGGATGGGAAGCATAAGAAAGATGGAAGACAGGACCCTCCCTCCTCCCCTAGGCCAGCATAGAGGCAGCCAGTGCCACCCTCAGGAAGCTGTCCTTGCCACAGATGCCACAGTACGGCACATGGGGTACAATGTAGTCCAGCACAAGTGCAGCAGGCAGCACCTCCTCCCTCAGCCTGGCACTGGCCTAACCACCGCCACCCTCCCCACTCCTCCTGGGAGACAGAACAGACAGACCAGAGGACAGACCAGAAACGACTGAAAGGAGAGATGAGACAGGGATGGATGAAAAGATAGGGGATCGGAGAAAGAATAAGTGCACAACCCCCAAAATCCTCCCAGGGAGGGAGAGCCCAAATCAAACTCCAACACCAACATTCACTCCACTAGAGCTGCCTAAATCCTTTTGTGACCCCAGAAGCCTATCTTCAAGGGCACTGATGCTCAAAGCACCAGGTCTCCAACAAACAAGTACTGGGGGGCCCCCTCCACACAAGGCCCTCCAAGTCTTACCTTGGTGCGCCCGTTGATGACATAGCCACCTAGGCGCCCAGCGCAGTGGCGAATCACAGCATCCACATGGGCCATGAGGACCCCAATGCTTCGGCAGCCCGGCTCATGGCCTTCCACCCAGGCAATCTGGTCCCCACGAATGCTGCGTGGCGGGATAGCCCGCTGGCTCACCAGCTGCCCGTCACGCAGGCGCCCGCTCCGCTTCAGGGCCTCCACCTCAGCCAGCACGCAGCCACCCAATGCCGCCCCCAAGAAGCTGTCCTTGACACAGATGCCATAGTACCGCATGCAGGGCACAATATAGTCCAGGGCTAGGCGCTCAGGTGCGGCGGGCAGCACCTCCTCCCGCGGCCCCACGCTGGCCTCTCCGTTGCCACTGCTGCAGCCCATGCCGCCCTCCCCTTCGGCTTCTGCCTCCCGGTTCTCCTGCCTGGCCCAGGACCGCTTGCTGGGTGCTGGGGCATCCCCACCATCCTCTGCCCACTTCCGTTTGGGGGCCTCAGGCCGGGCGCCCTGGGCGGCCAGTCGCTGGCACCCCTTGGTGACCAGTGCTGCAGCGCCCTCACTCTGCAGCGGGCGCAGCTCGCCACCATCCTGCCCGCCGAAGCCCTCCCGCAGGGGGCTGGCTGTTGTGGAGGTGGCTGTGGCCCTGGGGGTCCCACTCCCCGCCGAGGCCTCACCAGGTGCTCCTGGGCGGTGGTAGGAGGGTAGCAGTGGACAGGGCAGGTAACTCTCCACCCCCATCCTGGCCCGGCCAGGCTCCAAGGGCTCTGACACAGAACCCGGCAACTGAGGAAGAGCCTGACTCAGGGTCTGCGGCTGGCACGGGCTGTCCATGGCAGCAGTGTCTTCATCCCCCGGGCATGGAGGGCACGGCCCGGGCCCATGGTGCCACCCTCCTCCGCCTCCGCCTCCTCCACTTGATGCAGCCGGGGGCCGGGGCGGCTGAGCCTGGCGTAGGACAGGGTGAGGCAGGGCAGGCAGCAGAGGCTCTTCTCGCGCCCTGAGGGTGCTTGCTGGTCCCCAAGTCCTCTGCTGCCCCTAGGGGCTTGGAAAAGGACCCGTCAGGGTGGCTGAAGGGCGAAAGAGAGAAAAAGGAATGTGAGAAGAGCGAGAGGCACTCCAGCTGGGGTAGAGGTGAAGGGTAGCAGGGGCAATTGAGAGGAAGGCACACTTGGCTACACAGACACCCCAAAGCCGAGGCCACATTGGAGAGAAAACCATGGGAATTGGGGAGGGGGGTGACAATCACGGAGAGAGGAGTGAGGCTGGGGAGATGACCCAGAGACACAGAACTGTGGTGGGGGCTGCGGGAGAGCATCCTGAGAGAGAGAGAGAGAGAGAGAGACCAGAAAGGACAGAGAAGACCTAAAGTAGAAAAGGAATGCGGGAGCAGTGGGGAGCAGTGGGGAGCAGGAGATCGGCCTGGGGATTCCAGACACGCACGGCGGGAACGGGGGGGCTCCACACACACACACAGCAAACCGGGGAGTCCAGAGACAAAGAGAATGGGGGGCCCAGAAGCGGAAAAGCCGACCGGGGAGAAGCTGGGAGGGCGGGCCTGAGACAGCGGGACAGAACGGGGCGGAGGGGTCAACCTGAGCCCAACGAGAGGAAGCCTGCCGGCGGCTCACACACACCCAGACGGAAGGGAGGGCCTAAGACAGACGGACAGACGGAAGGCAGCCGCGGGAGGAGGGTCCCCGGCGACGCGGGGGGAGGGCGGGGGAGGGTTCACGCACTCGGGGACAGGACGGGGGAAGGCGGCCCCTCCCAACCCCCTTCGGTGCGGGCCCCCCCGCTCGGGGCGCTGGAGGCGACCGCGGCCGGGCCGGGGGACCGCTGGGCCCCCGCGCCCGCGCCCCTCCCCCCTCCCGTCCGCCGGCACGCGCCCTCGCCCCCACCCCTACCCTCCAACGGCCGGCACTCAACGAGCCCGGCGCGCTCCCTCCCCCACGCCCTACCCCCTCCTTCCCTCCCCCGCTCGCCGCGCTCCGCTCCGCCACGCCAGGCCGCCGCGCGCCCCCACAGCCCGCCCGGCTCGCGCCGGCGCCCCGCCCCGAGGGCCTTCTTCGCTCCCTTCGCTCCCCGCTCCCTTCCCTCCCCGAGCTCTCCTCACCGAGCTTTTTCCTCCGGCCTCGGCGCCGCCGTTTGTGCCAGCCGCCCAGCGCCGCACCGCGCGCCATACCCCGCCCCCACCTCCCGCGACGCTCCGCCCCCGCCTCGCCCGGTGGGCACGTGACCGCGCCCGCGGAGGACACCGCGCGTGCGCAGGCGCGAGCCGCGCGGGGCGGAGCAAGGCGGCGCAGGACAACCTCCCCCCGCCCCCCGAGAGTGGGGAAACGGGTCGGTCGCCAACGGGAGGCTCATTTGCGTGCTGCGCTCCGCCCCTTACGGGCGAGGAGCGGAAGGCCTTGAGGGAGTTCAACGGCTAGGCCAAACGGCGTGGGAGGGGCATGCAAATAGCGTTATTTGCATGGGCCGGCCCACCCCTCGGAGCACCGAGCGGTGGAAAGTGACATGCAAATAATACTATTTACATGGGCAGTCCCGCCTTCTCCCAGCCCCAGAATAGGACTGTGATAAAGAAATGTCAAAAAAAAAAAGAAAAATAAAAAGAAATGTCTGCGCATTTAGTAGAGAAACGTATAGAAACGTGCACATTAGTCATTTACTTAAGTACTTTTTATAAAGGAGGGAAAGAAACTGTGGAAGGTTCCTAAGGGAGGAAGACTGGAAGGGATGTGCCACAGTAAGACCCGCTCCACCCTGCCCTGTCGGGACAATTGTGAGAATCTAAATAAAGTAACCTAGGAAAGCTACGCAGAGTTCGCAGACAGGACATTTGTCTGACAGCCTCGGGTCTAGGAACATCTTAGGTGACCTAGCCTGGAAGGACTATGCAGATGAGGTTATCTAAATGCCCTGCCCCCTCCACCACCGCCAGAGCGGAGGTGGGGGGGCGGGGAGGAGGCCGCAGGCTCAGGGGTCAGGCCTACCCTGTGAGTGGGTTAGTGCTGACTTGGGGATTGGCAGAGAAGCTGGAAGTGTCCTGAGGGGGGGGGCTGCACCTGTCCCTGGCAGAGTACTTGCAAGTATGTCAGTTCACCAGGACACAAGAGATACACACCAGTATCAAATGCACAAGTCTCAAATATGCGCAAGTTGCACAAAGGCCCACAGAGTCCTCAGGAGCATACTCAGGGTTCATGGTCACACGCAGGTGTGTCAAGGGTGCCAAGTTCACACAAGACACACACAGACCTCAGGGGCATACACACAGTATCACACACACAACAGTCAGACATGGCCTGGGACTTTCTAGCATCAAACATGCATGGGTATTACCTCCTGGCCTTAATTTTCATTCCCTGGCCTTGGTCCCAAACAACACCAGCCTCATGGTTACAATCACTAAGGACACAAAGTAGTCACAGGCAACAGTATCACACACAATAAGCACATATTCCTACAGGTACCATCATACAGGTCACAAACACAGGACATCAGGGCCCCACAGGTGGACTTCCAGCATGCCTTGTCATAACACGTGCAGTTGCAAATTCCCTCCACAAGACCACTGGAGTCATGGTGTACCCCCACACCATATCCAATCCAAAAACATGGCCCCCAAACACCATGACACATGGTTCTTCCATCAGGGACTTCTTCCATCTCCCCTCCCTCCCCATCACCCCAAAATAACAGAGGCCAAGACACAGGTGTAAACAATGCTTTATGGGGGTGGAGTGGGGACTGGACAGGCCTCCAGGCAATAAATAACACGTACTCGCAATGGCGGGGAGCTGGGGCCAAATGCCCAGGTCTCAGGCTTTGGGAACTCTTCGAGTATGGTTAGGGGTTCCGGGGGGACAGGGGTTAGCCAAGACAGAGGAAGCAGCAGCAGGTACGGATTCCCCCTTCCCCCGTGGCTCAGTCTTGCCCCTCAGCCAGGCCCCACCAGGCCAGGGAAGGGGAACAGGTGGCGGGGCAGCTTCTCTGGGGCCAGGACAGGTGAGGGGCTCGGCCTCCCAGGGCCTGGGTCTGGGCCCCGGCCAGAAGGGCAGGGCTGGTCCTGGAGAACAGGTGAGCTGAAAGAAAAGTGTGTAGTGAACTAGAGGGATCCTGGGTCTGTCCAGCCAGTGTCTCTGTCTCATTTCTGGGTATCTTCCTGTCTTCCTATCTGTGTCTGTCCGTATCTTTTCTCTTTCTTCTAGAGTTTCTACATTGTCTGATTTTCTATTTCTTGTCTGCAATTTGTGGCTGTCTCTCTGAGGGTACTTGCATCTCCCTGTTTGTCTCAGAGAGCTGACCCAGTGAGTCTGCAGCAGGATATTTCAATATCTAAATTTCACACTCCCACCTTTGTATCTCTGTGTCCCTCTATGTTCCTGGATCACCCCAGCTCATTCCAGTGTTTTCCAAACTGAGGAGACACCTTCGGTTGGTAGTTGTTGCTTCAGCTACAATAGCATTACCTGGGAGCTTCTAGAAATCCGGAAATCCCTTCAGAATCTCTGGGGTGAGGCCCAGGCATCAGACTCTTTTAAAGCTCTCCAGGTGATTTCAGTGTGCAGCACTGCATTAGTGGGTTGGGAAATCAGTTTGGTGGGCCCTGGCCACTTTTCCAATGAGATAGAATAAAATAGAATAGAAAATATCAGAGTGGCATCATATGTAATAAGAATGTTCTCCACAGACATAGCAGGCAAGATTGGTGGGTGTCAGAGGCTGGCAGGGGGAATGGGGAGTGATTGTGAAAATGTTTTGGAACATTTTCATGGCTAAATGTATGCCGTTGTGAATTTCATCTCAATAAAAAAAAAGCAAAGAATATTAGTGCTAGAAAAATATGTTTCAGCTTTATGTGCATGTGACTGCATCAGATCGAGACATAAAATGTATTTTCTTGGGGCACCTGGGTGGCTCAGTGGGTTGAGCAGCTGCCTTCAGCTCAGGTCATGATGGCAGCGTCCTGGACCGAGTCTTGCGTGGGGCTCCCTGCTCAGTGGGGAGACTGCTTCTCCCTCTGCCCCTCCTCCAGCTCCTGCTCTCTCTCACTGGCTCTCTCAAATAAATAAAAATCTGATATAAATTAACTGATTTAATTTAATGTATTTTATCCTGAAGATTGTAGTCAACAATGTTTGAAAAAGCACTGTCTTACTACATTTGATTCACTGAGGGCAAACTCTGAAACGGATGCTATATACTAAGCCCTCGGGTGAAGAATACCCACCCAACCATTTCTCCACAGCCCAGATTTGTCAAATTGATAGTAAAAAGAAAAATAATAAACAGCTCTCATCTATCAAGTCTTTACTAAGCATCAGGCTCTGTGCTAAGGACTTCACATGACTTGATATCATTAATCTTCTCAACACCCACAGGAGGGTAGGCCCTATTATTAACCCCATTTTACAGGTGAAAAAAAACAAGTCCCAGAGTGAATAATTTGCCCAGGGTTGTGCAGGTAGGAAGTGACAGAGTCAGAGTTGAAACCAGGCAGCCTGGCTCTGCAATTTTCGACCTATCACCGATCCTTCCCTTCCCAGATGGGGAAGACAAACTTGATCACGACCAAGTGTGCAGAGCTGGATGCTTTAAAGACTAGGGGGCAGCTGTGAGACCACCCAGTTGGAGGCAGTGACTCCCCATCTGGGAAGCTGATAACGGTGTCCTGCAGGAAAAGTCATTTTAGTGAAGACCAGATGAGGAGTGGCAACTGGCATAAGAAAAGAGGCCGGGGTACAGCAGATGCAGAGGCACGGGAGGAAAAGAGGGATGCCTGAAACACTCACCCTTGACTCCTCTCTCTCAAATGCCATGTCCATTCATCAGGAAATCATGTTGGCTCTGCCTTCAAAGTGTATCCAAGGTCTAAGCACTTTTCCCCACAGCCACCCTGGAGACGCCAAGGGTTGGAAGCAGGGGAGGCCGGGGGCGTGAAGCACAGGGGAGAATTGGCAAGACACACATGCTCTCAAAGAGGTGGGGAGGGGACCTCATCCTGCAGGACCTTGCAAGCCCAGAAAGGAGTGTGGACCAAGCATAGGGGAAGCAAGGCTTCCTGGAGGAGGCAGAGGAGGGAAGAGAGGGAAGGAACAGTGTTCCTGGCAGAGGGCAGAGCGTAAACAAAGACCCAGAGAAACGGGGAGAACTTCAGTGTGGCTACAGCAGCCTGAGAGGTCAGGAGGGGTGTGTGAGTTGAGACAGGTGAGGCTGGCAGGGGCAAAAACCAGGCTAGGAGCCTCCGGCTGTGTCCCACAGACCCTGGGAGCCATGGGTGGTTTTAAATGGGGGAGGGACAGAATTAGATTTGTGCTTTAGAAAGACCCAGTGGCTACATCAAGAGGGGCAAGACTCAGTCCGTCCTCTACGGGCACCCCCACCCCACGTCCTGTCCACTATGGTCTCTCAGCCTGACTCTGCAGTAGTCTCTCACTGGTCTCTCAGCAACCACCCCTGCCCACACCCTCCTCTCCTCTATATGCAGCCAGAGGGATCCTGGGAACACCTGCATCAGGTCCTGTCCCTTCTCTGCTCAGAGCCCTCCCATGACTCCCATCCCAACTGGGGTATAACCCAGAGCCTCCTCATGGACAACAAGGCCCTATCTGATCTTCTTCCCCCACCCCTGACCTCATCTCTTCTTACCTCCCCTACCCCCCAATACACACATGTACTCCACTCTAGCCATGCTGGCCTCCCTGGACCTCCTCACCCAGCTCAGGCATGCTTCTACCTCAGGGCCTTTGCATTCACTGTTCTCTCTGCCTAGAACACTAGCCCCCAGGGACCCATATGACAGCCCCCACCTCATTCCCCTAGCTTCAGGTCTTTGCTCCAATGTCACCTTTTCAGGGAGGGATTCCCTCATGATGGAAAATTCCACTCCTCACCTCCCTACCCCTCGCTTTCCCTTTATTTTTCTCCATAACTCTTATCTTCTTAACTACTGTATCATTTTCTTATGTGTCTTGTTTATCGCCTGCCTCCTCCCAAGAGCATGTCAGCTCCACGAGGGCAGGGATTGTTTGGCCCACTGCCTGAACAGGATCTGGCACACAGCAGACACTCGCTCAATATTTGCTGAATTATGAATGGGTGGGTCAGAGATCCGGGGCAGGGAGCTGGTGGCAAGATGGAAAGGACGTCCCCGAGGCCAGGACGATGGCTCCTTTCATGCAACTGTTTCTGCATCGTTCTTTCTCACCCTTTCTCTTGTCACCTCTCCCTTTCTGTGTCTCTGTCTCTGCTCCGCATTCCCCCTTGCTGGGACCCCACCCCTGCCATCCCCGGGCCCAGGCTCCCACCTGGGCTCCCACCTGGCTCCACATGTCTCAGCAGCCACAGGGCTGAGGGGCCACGGCCTGGGCACTCCGAGGCTGCCGCAGCTGGCGGAGGGAAGCATCCCCGTACTGAATGCCTGAGCCCATCCTCTCGGGGTCCAGCTCACCTGGGGGTTGAGGGGAGGGGGACAGGAGAGAGGTCAGGACTAGTGTCCTGGAGACTTCTGGGCCCTGCCTTCCACTCCCACTCCCACTCTGGGCAGTCAGGGGCCTCACCTGAGTCGATCTTGTTCAGGATGGTGCGGGCACACTTCAGGAAAGCCTCTTCCACGTTCTCACCCGTGAGGGCACTAGTCTCCAGGAACATTAGCTCTGGGGGGCAGGGCCTCGGTGAGTCCCTGCCCTTCGCTTGACTCTGACCTACCACCTCTGCCCTTGCACTTACCATTGGCCTGCCACCAAGGGACCCTCTCCCCAGGTGGTTCCCACTAATACGCCTCCTCCTCCAGAAAGGCCTCCCTGACCTCCCAGCATGGATCAGGGCACCCCCCCCCTTCAGGATCCCACAGCCCCCAGTGCCTCCCCTATCCCAGCCCTGACCTCTCTGGGCTATCACTGGAAAGGGTGGTGTCTCCCTTCCCTACCCACTGGACTGTGAGCCTGTGAGAGCTGGGACTAGGGTGTCTTTAACGCTATGTCCCCACCACCATCTGGGACAGGCCCAGGCCCACCACAGACAACCCTTTAGCCTCAAAGCCATATCTTTCTGATGGCAAAACATCGTCTCAACCTGGAGGTTACAAGCTGGAGGAACATGGACAGACCCCGAGCCAGTAGATGTTTGGCCAACACGAACTTTTCAAATGAGTTTATATTTGCACACCTTTTGACGTGGCTGTGGGATCTGTCTACACCCCGAATGCTGGTGCCTGCTAACATGGGGTCCATCCTATCCTGTCTCCCTTAATCACAAAACAGGCCTGTACCCTCGGGCCATCGGAGTTTGCAACCTCCACGTTACACCAATACCCAGCACTGGCCGAAACCCTCTTAGCAGCCAACATCCATCAAGCGCCCGCTGCTGTGTCCAGGCAGTGCCAAGGGCTCTCCGTGACCAACTCCCTTAAGCATCACACGCTATGTGAGGCAGAAACATCGTGACTCCTCTTTTCCAGATGGGGAGACAGGACCAGGGTGGTCACATGGCTCACATGTGGCCAACACTCGAATTTGAACCCAGACCTCTAAATCTCCACATTCCCCTGCTAGGGAGAGCCACAGAGGCCAGGAGCCATGGGCCCCAGGGGACACCCCCTGCTCCTCAGCCCAATCCCCTCCCCCACTGGCCCACCAGCAGGTCCTCACCATTCTCCTGGGCAAAGCGGGAGGCCTCCAGGAAAGTGACCTCACGCTCAGGGTCCAGGTCTTTCTTGTTGCCACAGAGGATGACCACGATGTTGGGGCTAGCCAGCGTGCGGGCGTCCGTCAGCCAGGCAGCCAACGAGTTGTATGTCTCCCGGCTATGGAGAAGGGAGAGAGGAGGAGGGCAGACACAGGATAGGGGGCCCCCACCCCAGCTCTGCCTCACCCTCTCCGTGCACCCACCTGGTGATGTCGTACACCAGCAGGGCTCCAGCCGCCCCTCGGTAGTAACTCCGTGTCACCGACCTGTGGGGCCAGGGGGACCCAGTCATCCCCGAGGCTGGGGTCTGCCCTGAGACTGCCCCCCTCTGCGGAGAGAGACTGATGCTGGTGGTTCAGAGGGCTCCCCCTCCCTGGCCTTTACTGCTGACCTATCCCCCAGAAGCTAGCGGTGTTCTGGTCTCACCACAATTTCCTTCTCTGCTGGTCTCTCTCCTTGTCTCCCTCAATCTCCCTTAGCTGTCTGTCATCGGCCTCAGAGGCTCTCCCTGTCTTTGACTCTGTGTCCCTGTGTTCCCTTTCTCTTCAGTGGTCTGTGTCTTTCCGTCCATCTCTCTTACATGTGTGTCTCTCTCACTCCCTTATGTCTCTCTATCTCTGTGTGTCTCTCTGGCTCTGGTTCTCTCATCCTATTTTTTTTTTTAAGATTTTATTTATTCTTTAGAGACACAGAGAGAAAGGCAGAGACATAGGCAGAGGGAGAAGCAGTCTTCCCTGCGGGAAGCCTGATGTGGGACTCGATCCCAGGACCCCTTGGGCCCTGAGCCAAAGGCAGACACTCAACCGCTGAGCCACCTAGGAGTCCCTCTTCTTCACTCTTGATTTCTCATGCATTCACTCATGCCTCATTTTGCCTTCTTCCCTTTGCCCATTCCTGGCCAAGTGCTCTGCAACTACACTGGCTTGTCCCCCTCCTGCTGCATCTTGGGGAGGCCCTCTTCCCAGGGTGGCTGCATCTGCCTGCATCTCCGTGTCCCCTGTCTGGGTCCTCCTCGAATTCAACCATTCCACAAGCACTCACTAAGCACTTAGCACAAACTCAGCGCCAGCCACTCACCCTTCGCCTTCTCTCTCTCTCACATGGTGATATCAACAATATCACCAATATTAACTTAGCAGCTACGACGCCATGCTGGCTAGGGACCACACTTCTCCATGGACTCGATTCCCTCATGTCCCTCCTCTCTGTCTCTTAAACTCAGGGTTTCTGTGCACCAACCACCTTGTCCGCAGCCATTTCTTGAAGACACACTGTATGCTGAGCCCTCCGCCATTCTCTCTCCCCCGCCACACAACATCCATTTCTCCATCTCTCTGGCTCCTCCTGTCCCACCCTCCCTGTCTCCGGCTTGGACCTATTTCTCTTTGTGTCCTTTATCATCCTTCCCTTGCTCTTCTTCTCAGTCTCTGTCTTTCTCTGTCTAATTCTGAGTGTATCTCTTTCTCAGTTTCCCTCTCTTTCAATCTCTCTCTTTCCACCTCTACCCCTGGCCCCCACCCCAAGCGCCTTTCCCCAGGCACAAATCTCCATCTCTCCAGCCTCATGGCTCGATCTACTGCAGTCTCTCTAGGGTCTGTGGGTCTCTCCTTTCATTATGCTTCTTTCTCAGCCTCATTCTCCCTTGCAATCCTTGCTCTCTCTCCAGGACCCCTGCTAGCTCTGGCTATAATAGGCACCTGTACTGAGTCTCTGCCTTTCTCCCGCAGCCTCGCCTGCCCTCTCATTGTCTCTGTGCTTCCGTCATACCTCCAAGTGACTGCACACACCTCTCTCTCTGTCCCTCTATCTCATTTTGTCTCCTCTTTCCTCTGCCCCCCTCCCTTGGGAGCCCGGCCCACCTACCGAAACCGCTCTTGGCCGGCTGTGTCCCAAATCTGGAGCTTCACAGTCTTCCCACCCACGTTGACTACCCGAGATCCAAACTCCACGCCGATTGTGTGGTTGGAGTCCTGTTTGACTGGGAGTGGGAAGGAGAGAAGAGGCAGTGCAGGGGCTCAGAAGCTTCCCTGTCCTCCCAAGCCTCCTCAGCCTGTACAAAACCATTCTCATTGCTGGGGTGACTGAGATCCTCAAGGAGGATCTAGCAAAGGCGAGGGCCAGGCAGCCAGCACTGAAATTGTTCCTATGGCCAGCCCTGCCCCTGCCCACGCTATGCCCACACCCACAGTTCAGTGCTCCCGGGACCACTCCCAGAAACTCACACTTATTCTCAATGAACTGATGAAGGAGACATGATTTGCCAGTTCCTGCACTGCCAATCACCAGGAATTTGAAGAGGAAGTCTGAGCAGATGGAGCCAAAATCAGGGAAACCCATATGGAGAGAATGATACAGGGCAAAAGATGGAAACCAAGAGACCATCACAGTTACAAGGGGACAAACAGACAGGCAGAAACAGAGCAACAGTAACAACAGACAATTCATATACAGTGCTTACCACATAACAGGCACAGTTCTAGAGCTCTTTACTACGGCAAGCTCACTTAATCCTCAGAAAAACACTACAAGGGAGGTATACCAACAAGTATCTCCATCTTCCAAATGAGGAAACTAAGGCCAGAAAGGTTAACTGGTCTACCCAAGACCCCATAGCTGGGCATAGCTGGGATTCGAACCCAGCTCAACTGGCTCCAGAGCTCAAAAGCTTAGCTGTGACGTTGTTAAAGCCTCTCAAGATCCATGTTACCCAGGGTGACAGCCTTGCCCTTGCCCTTGCCCATCACGACCTCACCTCCTACCACGTTCTCATTCACTCTATTCTAGCCTGGGGCCTTCAGTCTATTCCCTGAAAATGGCAAGCTGGTTCTCACCTCAGGATCTTTGCACTTGTTCCCTCGGCTTTTCTCTACTCGTTGAAGGAATTATAGCTCCTTCTGATTCTTACACCAGTGCAGTTTCTACGGCACCCTGTCCTCCCATCTCCTATTCATCCATCCATCCGGATTCTCCAATTCTCAGTCCCTCCATCCCTTCCACGGCCCAAGGCCCTTTCAAGTTTAAGCCCCACCCACCCCTTGCCACTAGTCCCTCCCACCACCTAATTCAAGGACGACGCATCCCCAACCCCACTGCAGCCCTCTCCAGCCAGAGCAATCCCAGGATCCACAGCAACCCCTCGGGGTTCTCCCAGCCCACCAACCCCAAGCCCTGCCATTCACACAGTCAGCCCCACCCCATCCATCCAGACTCCGCCCCGACACAGTAAGAACCATCCTTTCCTTCAAGGCCTGCCCAAGTCCATCAAGACTGGCTCCCTCAAATCCCGCCCCAGATCTATTTAACCCACACACCAGACCCTCAGGCTCCGCCCAAATCCATGAAGCCCAGCCTCGTACCCATTAAACCCCTCCCAGCATCCACTAGGCCCTGCCCCATGCCAGACCCCGCCCCCTGGCACATAAGGCCCCGCCCCACTCCCCAAAGGCCGCATCCTCCCTGGGCCCAGACCCCAGACCCTGACTCCGGCCCACCACCCTCACCGTAGGTCTCGGCCATGACTCGGTCGCGGCCGCTTGGGGCCGCAATATGGCGCCGCGGCCGCGCCTGCTCCTCGGCTGGCAGCCGCTCCACTCCGGCTGCAGCCCCGGCTCCTTCCTACTCCCGGGACCGGCGCCGCCACTTCCGCCTCCACCCCCCACAGCGCGACCCGCTAGGGCTGCGGGATACCAGGCCACGCTTCCCGAGGGCTGGGATTGGCGAACTCGGCGGCCGGGAGGCGGGACAAAGGGCGCGGATTGGCCGCGCGAGAGGGGACGGGCCAAGGGGGGGCGGGACCAAGACGAGCGATTGGTGGAGCAGGTGGGAAGGGACCGTACGGAGATGCTTTAGCCCCGCTGAGAGACGGATTTGGTCAGGAGTACGGGTGCAGAGTCGGGACTCCGGATTGGGTAGGAGCGGACCTGGGGGCGGGGGCACGGCTGCAAAGAAGGGGGCATGGACAGGATTGACAGAAAGACCCCGAAGAGGAGCAGGTATCGAGCTGGGGAGCGCTTTTTCAGACCTCAAAGACAAGAAAGACGAAAACTGGAGGGGGGGGGGTACGCGCTGGCTAACCTCCCCCTTCCCTTTGCAGATGGTCTTCCACGAAAACCTCTTGTTCTGTTATTCTGTGATTTATGTCTTCCTCGTGGCCTTATTGGCTCCTTCCCAACAGTTCAACTCCCTCCCCTTGGTCTAGAGAGGACACTAAAAAACCCGCAACCGGTCTGTTCAGGTTATTCCGCCTTTTCTTTTTTTTTTTTTTTTTATTCCGCCTTTTCATTTGCTTGTGTATCTAAGTTTAGCCCACCTCTGGTACCCAGCTCGGAGCAGAGAGCATTTAGTGGAAGTCTGCCTAGCAACCACTGACGTCACGAGAGTCAATGAGTTGACTGGCTAAATTCAGGAACCTGGGGAAACATTTCCTTTGTTACACCGCCCCCCCCCCCAAAAAAGACCACGGAGACCTGCATTTTGCACTTGGCTGATATATTTGCATAAAGCCAGAAGGGGGGAAAAAAACACAGCATGGACAGTGGTAGGCTGAGCTCACTGGCAGTAGAAATCCCATTTCTGAAAAAGAGAAAGGGTAAACAGTGGGAAGAAAACCAGCGGTCACACCACAAAGGATCTAGTGGTTTTTGTTGTGGCAGGGGCCAGGTTTGGCCAAACATGTGCTATGCAAATTGGTCCAGAGTCCTCCAATCTTTGCACCTCTCAATCTAACAGGGACTTAAAAAAAAAAATAACTCCCCCATTTTACAGATAAGAAAACCGAGGCAGGGAATTTGTACCAGTGCACACAGCTACACTGCCGGGGAGCCAAGGGAAGGAGCATCTTTGCCCATCATCACAACCTCAGGGTCCTCCCTCCGGATCCCTGCCAGCCCCCCAAGACACTCACATCTGTCTTCACATCGATTTTGCCAGGTTTCAGGGTCTGGTCCTCACGTACAACACTACTGGGGAAATAGCCCAGGCGAGCAGCTAGATCTCCATAGTAATCTCCCTGAACCTGGAGAGGAAGAATTCAAAGCCAGGGTTCTAGGAGGATGGCAAACTTGTTCCTGCTAAAGACCATAGCACTTTTCCTCTTCCTGATTTCTAGAGGACTGGCTCCATGCTTGTCACTCAGCTCTCTTACAGTCACTGTGTGGAGGCCCTGCCTGACCACCTGAAGTAGCCACCCACCCAATGGGTATTAATTCTCAAAGGAGGGGTCCCTGGGTGGCTCAGTGGTTGAGCCTTTGGCGCAGGTCATGATCCTGGGGTCCTGGGATTGAGTCCCACATCAGGCTTCCCACAGGGAACCTGCTTTTCCCTCTGCCTCTGTCTCTGCCTCTCTCTCTCCATGTCTCATGAAGAGAGTAAAATCTTTATTTTTTTAAAGTTATTTATGAGAGGCACAGAGAGAGAGAGGCAGAGGGAGAAGCAGGCTCCATGCAGGCAACCTGATGTGAGACTCGATGAAGGCAGGTGCTAAACTGCTGAGCCACCCAGGGATCCCAAAAAGGAAAGTATTTAAAAAAAAAAAAAAATTCTCAAAGGAGCACGGATTTGCTTATTATTTTTTGATGGCTTGCAGTAATTGAGAGACTACCTTTGGCTTGGGTCATGATCCTGGGGTCCTGGGCATCAGGCTCCTGGGTTCCGCATCAGGCTCCCCATGGGGACCCTGCTTCTCCCTCTGCTTATATCTCTCATGAATAAACAAAAAAGAGTACAATAACCTCTCCCCCGGCCAAACGATTTCAGTCTACACCCTCAAACTTTCCCTTTGGGTGGAAAACTAGGATGCACTCCCACCCTAGCCCCATATCCTTTCTTTTTCTGTTCTCCCAAGACTCACACTGCCTCCCCAGAAGAGCCGCCCTCGGCCCTTCAGCTTGGAGAAGACATACACAACTTGGCCCCTGTGTATGGTCAGGAAACGGCAGTCGGGGGCCACGTAGTCCTGAAGGGCCACAGCCATGGAGATGGGGTCTGGGGAAGGAATAGAAGGGAATGACAGCACCCTCCACACAGGCTGGCAACCCAAGCTCCCAAGGCCCCCCAACCCCCAAGGCTTACAGCTGCATTCCTCATCAGCACACAGCTTGCGGTCAGCCAGCTTGGGCATGGCACGGCTCCCGACACTAGGCGCTAGGAAGGCAGACAGCAAAACAATGATACCGAGGAACACTGGTGACCCAGCCATCATGGACTGAGCAAGGGAGTGACTGAGGGGGAAATGGGGTCTCCAATTTCCTTCTGCCCTCCCTCTCTCCACCAACACAAGGAAACCTGTGTTCTCCATCCTGTCTCCACCCTTAACTGGTCCCAAATTTCACCCACAATATCTAGAGGCTGCTGCCCAGCCAGAACCATTTCAAAGACAGGGTGAGGGCAGCCTGCCCAAGAAAATGCCCAAATAGGCCCAAAGCAGCCCAGGCCGCTCCAAGTGACAGCAACCCCTACCTCCTGCCCCCACCTCTACCATCAGAGGCCCAGATAGGCAGGTTGAGATATTCAATCCCATCTTTGTCAATTCTAGGCTGTTTGGGTACCTGGGCCATTCCAAGAACAGAAACAGGCAGCTAGTACAGAAAACTATCTTGGAATTTCCTGTGTTCAAGGACAGAACAAGGCGGCCTTTTGATCGCCAGGAACAGCCCCCACTCTCAAGGACCAAGTATTATATGCTGGATCTTAAGGCTAGCAAGGCCCTACCATAATCACTATTTATCTTCACAAGCCACTTCCTGACTGGGTGACCTGGGCTAAACTATTTCTCTTCTGAGAGCCTCGCCTTTCTCCTCTGTAAAATAGGGACCATGAAATGAAAGCCAACAGTTATTTAAAGAGCACTCAGCACATAATTTCAAATGGACTGCATCACCTTAAGGAGGCTGTTATAACCCCACTGGACATAGAAATGGCAGGGGAGAGCCTTCAGAAACTTGAAGTCTAAAGTCAGGAAGCAGAGGGGCCAGATTTGGCTCCAGGCCCACACCTGTCACTCACTGAGCATGGAGTTGGCAGCTGCAGTTCAGGAGAAAGTGGTGGTGGGGGGAGGGATATGAACTTGTCTCAAACTCTAAAACTGTTTCCTGGGATGCCTGCATGGCTCAGCAGTTGAGCACCTGCCTTCGGCACAGGGCATGATCCTGGGGTCCTGGGATCGAGTCCCACATCAGGCTCCCTGCTTGGGGCCTGCTACTCCCTCTGCCTATATATGCTTGGGGTTGCCCCATGTCTCTGCTCCTCTCTGTCTCTCATGAATAAATATATATGCTTGGGGTTGCCCCATGTCTCTGCTCCTCTCTGTCTCTCATTTAAAAATAAAACTGTTTCCTATAGCTCCACGTGCCAAGATCATTTGCCTGCACGGCCATCTCCGTCGTAGGACATTCTCACCTCTGGCCTCAAGTCCAAACTTTTGTGCAGGGGAAGTGGATCAGGCACACATGGGCTTGGGGATTGGGAAAGAATTCATCAGGGCAAAGCCTGGACCTCAGCCATCTCTACACACCCAATTACCTAGCACCATCATGGCTGGGAGATACTCAAGTCAGCTCTGCTCAAGTCACCAATGATTGGCTTTCCTTGATCACCGGGGACCATTCCCCAGCTGGGCCACCTCAGTTGTATCAGAACATGGTATTTGCAGTTAACTTTATTCACCACTGTGTGTCCTATGCAAAGAACAGTATTTAGCATAATGGGTACTTGGCAAGTATTTGCTGAATTTATAGGCTTACTGAGTACCACTGGGGATAGTGACCTACACCAATGGTACCACAGTACGAATATACAGGAATTCTGGGGCACCCAGGGGGCTGTCAGTTAAGCATCTGCCTTTGGCTCAGGTCATGATCCCAGGGGTCCTGGGATCAAGCCCCACATCAGGTTTCCTGCCCAGTGGAGGTCTGCTTCTCCCTCTGCCCCTTCCCTCCTTGTGCTCACTCTCTCAAATAAATTCTTTAAAAAACACCCAAACGTAACAGGAATTCTTTCCCTACACAGGAATAAAATGTAGCTCCAAGTGGGCATGTCAATTGCTCACAGGGAACATAGGAGGCCCACACCAGGCAGACAATAAAAACCAGGACCCACTGACCACAGAACCTGGTGTGGTGGGTGAGATGTTTCCATTTGCCATCTGCAATAATACTTGCCTCTTAGTGAAGATAACAATCTTTCAGCCTTTCAGATCCTACAAGAAGGAAGACTGTATTTGGTGCCATAAGTCTTTATCATTGCAAACACTGATGTTCCTTTTTAATAAAAAAGAGCAGAGCCAGAGTAGGCTTAACTTAGAGCCTTCACAAAAGATAAGACACTACTCAACACTCTTGTCTTTTTATTTTTTTGAAGATTTTATTTATTCATGAGACAGGCAGGCTGAGACACAGGCAGAGGGAGAAGGCTCCCTGTGGGGAGTCCGACGTGGGACTCTGATCCTGGGGCTCCAGGGTCACACCCTGGGTTGAAGGCAGACACTCAACCGCTGAGCCATCCAGGCATCCCAACACTCTTTGTCTTCTTGTATTTATTTTTTTTGTTTTCTATATTCTACTTCTGGCAAATGATCTCAGGGGTATCATGTTCAAGGCCTGAGAAAGATCTTAAGCAATATATACATGTTTTTTTTAAGTTAACTAATAAGATTTCCAGGGGGGCCCAATTGGTTAAGCATCTAATTTCAGCTCAGGTCATGATCTCAGGGTCCTGGGATCAAGTTCCACATCAGACTCCCTGCTCAGTGGGGAGTCTGCTCCCTTCTCTCTCAAATAAATAAAATCTTTTTAAAAAATTTTGTTCCAGATCAGATGTGTATGAGACTGAAGAAGGTTCCTCCTTCCATCTCCCTTCTTATCCATAGCTTCAGTTGTTATTTCATGACTGTCCAACCAGAACTCCATTTCCTAGACTCCCCTGCAGCCAGAGCACTGGAGGGGAAAGAACCTGGTTCAGCCACCTGCCCGAGGCTCCTGGCTGAGTAGCAGGTGGCCAGAAGGGAAGATTAGCAGTGTTTGAAGTGGCTACACCCGTTGTGCCTGGTCAGCAGCTCTCCATGTGGGATGAGGCACTTCCATCAGCAGCCGTGGCACCTTCCTCTAGTCCAGACTACAGCTCAATCAGAGATTGCAAACTTCAACTCAAGTGTCTCAAGCCCAGGCTACCACTCCTTCTCTTCTTCCAATGAGTTCCTGAGCACTCAGTTCCCTTTCTTTTCTTCCTGAAGTATCTAGCATGGATTCTGGGGACTATTGCTAGGATGGAACAATTTTTGTGAAGATTCAAAAAAGACAAAAAACCCTTCTTAACATTCCATTATGTTTGAAAAAAAAAATATGAATCTACAAAGTGAATGGCGTGCCCTTAAAGGTGGCATCCTTATTTGGTACAAAACCTGTCCAAGATTACATGGCAGCATGGGTTTTAATCTCCTGCTCTGAATGCTGATTGAGACAAAACAGAAATTTTTCCAAAGGATTCAATAAAGATGCCTGAGGCTTAGAGAAAGTTACTACACTATTCTGTGTTTCCCCAGGGTTGCAAAGCCCAACACGCTAAAAGGTCCAAATACCCAGAATGTTCTGATATGCAAGAAAACGCAGCATAGAAGACAAAAAAAATAAAAACGACAAATGGTTGTGAAAAACCAAACCTCAAAAAAACCACTTTAATTCCGGCCTAACAGCGCCAGGTGCAATGTCTGGGGACAGACTCTGGGTACAATGCTGTGTGGCGACCACTCACTCACACACGGCTCTGAGAAGGCCCCTGAGGGGGACTTACCTTCAGGGGGCTGAGCCAAGGGGGGAAGGGGTGGCCCCAGAGCAGGGGGCAGGGGCAGGCAGGGGGGAAAAGGTGCTACTTCTTGGCAAAAGAGATCTTCATGGCATTGTTCTGGGTGATCTTGAAGCCCTGCAGTGCGTCGCGAGCGGCCCCTGCCTGTACCTCATTGTCAAACTCCACAAAGGCAATGTCGTGCCGCCCAGGGACCAGTCGTACCTCCTTGAAGCCAGGGAACCTGGGGAGAAGGGAAGAGACCTCAGGGATCCAGACTTGGCATTTCCCCCGAATGTTCTGGCATCTGAAGTGTAGAAGCCACCAGGGATGCTGCTAAACGTCCACTACAATGCATAGTAAGAGAGGATCATCCAGGCCCAAGTGTATACAGTCCTAAGCTGAAGAGCCCGGACACAAACGAGTATACACGATGTAAACAAGTCATTTAAGGAAATATTTTAACGTGAACACCTATGCAGGCATAAGTTAGATCAAGGAATAGGACACTGCCCCCACGTCCCTCCCTGATCATACCCACCACCGGGTTCCAGAAATAAACACTACCCTGACTTTTTATGATCTGCTGTTTCTCTCATTCCCCCCCTCTTCCCCAACTTCCTTCCCCATTAGGCAACCATCCTCATGTTTGCTGGGTACACTTTCCTCTGCACCTATTCTTATGGAGTCTGTATTGTTTCACAGAAAGATACGCGTGTGATACTGTATTTTCCCTCTTACAGAATTTCTCAAAATTCCCTCCCAGCACTGTTACAGAGAACCATCGGCACTGCACTGTTCCCCAACTGCCACAGAGCAGGCCACAGTGAACAGCCCTTCTGACTTCTGGCTTCTTCCCCTGGGGCTGCCTCCAACTCCCTACCACCCAGAGTCCATCCACACCCCTTGGGACTTCTGTTAACAATGGCTTTAGGAGGGGTGCCTGGGCAGCTCAGCCGGTTAAGCATCTGCCTTCGCCTCAGGTCATGATCCCAGGGTCCTGGGATCCAGTCCTGCATTAGGCTCCCTGCTCAGTGGGGAGTCCGTTTCTTTCTCTCCCTCACTCTCTGCCATTCCCCCAACTTGTGCTCTCTAGCTTTCTCTGGCTATCAAATAAATAAGTAAATAAACTCTTAAAAAAAAAAAACAAAAAAACAAAACTTTAGTAGAAGACCAGAAGGCAGAGCCACCAGGTGAGCACACAACCCTTCCTTCACTGAACAGTGTATGTGTTACCCTGTGCAATAGCCATAGTGGTGGACACCCCGTCACCAGCACCTGGGGTTGCCAACATCCCTAACCTCCCACTGTGCAGTTTGAGCATGCCGATTCTGACCAGTCTAGCCAGTGCTCGATGCCACTGCACTGTTATTTTATACACACCTGGCATTTTTCTGATTTAGAGGCTGGAAAGAAAAGGCCCAGGGACCCCCGCACCCCCCACGAAGTCAGGAAGGTCCAATGCTGCCTTGGCCACGCTATGTCTGAGGCTTGCCACTGCCACGCCTCCTCAGGCTGTGGACCTCAGCCTCCACCCTTTATGCCTCCAAGTCACTGTTCTGCCTGCAAATCCTAAGCAGGCTCAAGACTCCACCAGCAGAACTCCAAAGCCTGTCTCCACGGTGCCGACTCCTGGGCCATCACCCTCTGGACGCTGCCCAGCTACTGGCCCCACTTACTGGTTGAAAAGCATGGACAGCATGAGCTCATTGGTCTCCTCAGGCAGGTTGGTGAGGAATAAGATGTGATTTGGTGGATTTTCTGAAAGCTGCAAGGAAGTGACAGAGCCTGTGAGTCTAGTGGGAGAACCTACTGCCTTCCTATTTTCTACCCCTATCCCCTCTTAAGTTCCTTCTGGCCCCTTCACCTGACATGCCTGATGTTGCCTGTCTACACCACCTTGCACTCCAGACTAAAAGCCATAGAGAACACTGCTGTTTTCATCAGATGCTGCACAGAAGTTCACTGAATCAAGCTGGGCTCTGGTCACTACTCCATCCTCACCCCGACCTCTTGAAGCTCCTCCGACATACATATAATCCCTCTCTGGCTCTAAAACAGCACCCCCACCCGTCCCTTTCTATTCCCATGTTCTGACTGTTCATAGGAGACCCCAGGAGCAGTATGTACTTACAGGCTGGGCTGGTGGCATCTGCCCCGGCATAAGCTGCTGTGGGGGCATGGCCCCTGGCGGGATTTGTCCAGGTGCCAGGCCTGGAGGCGGGATCATGCCAGGAGGCGGCATGTAGGGAGGCTGGCCTGGCATGTGATGCATGATGCGGGGGGCTTGAGTCATTGGGGGCATACCCTGCAGAGAGAGGGAGGACAGGGTTGAGTGGGGCACCCAGCAGACAAGAGGGATCGAGTCTGGTGTCAGCAGAGAGAAGAGAGTGTCAGAAGACCCAGGGAGAGATTCAGACTTGCAAGGTGGAAAAAAAGGCATCCATGGAGACAAAGGTCATCCAAAAGAAAATGGATGGAGCAAAACAGACCCAACTCAGGCTCGAGGGAGACATCAAACCAGAAACTTAAAAATTTTTCTAACAAAGAAGAACTAATCAGTGTGGTCCAGCTCTATTGACATAGAAGAAAGAAAACAACATTGGAAAAAATCAAATGCTAACAACAGTCAACAAAAAGAGCGAAAATAAACACTATAATGAGCATGCTGGAGTTTTACTTCCAAAAATACACTTGGGGGTGGGGGGGGGAGAGACCTACAGAGAAAAAAGGAGCAGACAGTGGAAGGCAGAGATGGACAGGGACAGTCAGGACAGATGGAGAAAGCAATGGAGGGGTGGCAGGGAGGTGGGAGTCAGCCAAAGGGCACAAGGTCATGCACCCAAGGGAAACAGGGCCATTGGAGCTGGAGCCACCGCTAAGGACTCAAAGGTGCACATACAGCTGGGTGCAGCGGAGGAGAGTGGGGAAGAGGGAAACTAGACAGAGGGAAACTCCGACATCACTGCTGACACCAAAGAGCGAGAACTGGTATCAGTGAAAGGACAAGTACGGTGTGATCCGGTCAGCAGAGCCCCTGTGGGGACTCAGAAATGAGTAGAGGCAATTCATCTATCTTAAGTACTTCGTGCTTTCTCGATTCTATTTTACAAAACAGGATGTTTCTACTTCTCATGCCCTCACAAAGTTCATGAAGAGATTTTCCTGTTTCCTTCTAGAATCTTTATTGTTTCAACGGCCACACTGAGGTCTACTATTCATCTCAAACTAACTTATATGGTTGAGGTAGGACTAACAATTTGCCTTAAAGACATCTGATTCGTCCAGCACCATTTATTAGCAAGATAAAGTCCTTTCACCATGGGAACGCAATGGTGCCTTCGCTGGCTGACAAACCATGCCTGTGTGGACCAGACTAACTTCTGGACTCTCTTCTGCCACCTGGTCCCTCTTCTTCCCCCCAGGCCAACATCTCACCATCTTGATGATTACAGCAGCCTCCCTGCTTCATTCTCCTTGCCTTTCCACATACCTGTGGAAAGACTGCCAGCGTGCCCAGAATTCCTGTTGGCATTTTGATTGGAATTGTGCTGAGGGTTAGGCCAGTTTGGAGGATGACATCCTAACAAGTTTGTTTTAAAATTTAAATTCAGGGGGGATCCCTGGGTGGTTGGGCGCCTGCCTTAGGTCCAGGGTGTGATCCTGGAGTCCCAGGATCAAGTCCCACATCGTGCTCCCTGCGAGGAGCCTGCTTCTCCCTCTGCCTCTCTCCCTCTCTCCCTCTCTCTCATAAATAAATAAATAAATAAATAAATAAATAAATAAATACATACATACATACATACATACATACATACATGTTTTTTGAAAATTTAAATTCAGGGACACCTGGGTGGCTCAGCGGTTGACCATCTGCCTTTGGCTCAGGTCGTGATCCCAGGGTCTGGGGATGGAGTCCTGCAGCTCTCCCTCTGCCTGTGTCTCTACCTATGTGTCTCTCATGAATAAATAAATAAAATTTAAATTCAATTTGCCAACATATAGTATAACACCCAGTACTCATCTTATCATGTGCCTTCCTTAAAGCCCATCACCCAGCTACCCCATCCCCTCCACCTCCTCTCCTGGAACCCTTTATTTTCCAAAGTTAGAAGTCTCTCATGGTTTGTCTTTCTCTTTCATTTTTCCCCTCCTAGTAAGTTTTGAGTCTCCCATCCATTTGCTGAATTCACCTCCCATTTCTCTCAGAAATGCTCTGTACTTTCAGTAAGTATATTTTGCTTACCCTTCATGGGATTTACTCCTGAGCCATTTTTAAATTTGGAGACTACTTGTTTGCTGCTAGCACACAGAAATAAAACTGACTTCTTCCACACTGACCTTCTCTCTGATGACCCTGCTAAATTAAATTCACTAATTAATCCCAAAAAGTTGGTTCATGGCTTCTTCTGGGTTTTCCGCATAGACATTAACTTAAAAAACACAGACAAGATCAAAGTCAAGGGGAGAAAAAAACTAAGCAACAGAGAGACAGAAAGAAAGATCTGAAAAACAGGTAACCACAGAGGCATTTCCAAATGTAGACTCCATCACGCAGGTGCATAATCCCTCACAGTGAGGTGCACAATTTCCATCAGAAAATGGAAGGGGAGAGTGCCCAAACCCCTGGGGAGACCACCTCCACCCTCCACCATGCCCACACGCCAGGCCACACAGCTGAGGAAGGCCTGATGGGAGAGAGGGCAGGGTCTCTTGGCCCTGGCTTACCGGGACAGGGCCCTGGACAGCCCCCACCACAGGGGCGGCGGCCCCACCCTGCACAGCCTTCTTGGCTGCTGGGGTCTCCTGGCTTTTGGGCTTCCTCTTCTCCCGCTTGCGGTCCCGCTCCACGAAGGTACCCTTCATCTTGGCAATAATATCCGAGTCAGTCTTGGCATACTGAATACGCTGCCAAACAAAGAGCAGAAGGTTAAGGAGTGTATCAAGGCCCAATCACCTGGGTACAAAAGCAGATCTTGGGATCCCTGGGTGGCACAGCGGTATAGCGCCTGCCTTTGGCCCAGGGCGCGATCCTGGAGACCCAGGATCGAATCCCACGTCGGGCTCCCGGTGCATGGAGCCTGCTTCTCCCTCTGCTTATGTCTCTGCCTCTCTCTCTCTGTCTCTCTCTCTCTCTGTGACTATCATAAACAAATAAAAATTTAATATCCTCATCTGTAAAATGGTAACTGAGATTTTCCACTGGAAAGGAGGACTGTAAGAACTAAATAAGCTTAAGTGCTCTGAATAGTAGCTGGCACAAACTAGGCATTCAGTCAGTGAGTTGTTGGGATTTTGAAGGGAAGATGGGACAGTCCCGAGCATCAGGCCAAAGGCAGATGCCTGAGGAAACAAGGCTAGGAGAGGAACACTATGCAGGGGGGTTCTAGTCACACAGGAGTTTAGATTCCCAGGCGAAAGCTGATTCTCAGTGGTCTACGGAGAACTTATACTCTGGGGTACAGCAACGAGTGTATCAAAGGTCCCTGCCCTCATGATCTCCTTGGTGAGAAAGATATGATGAAAAAGATTAAAAACAAAACTGGAAAAGGGGATGGAAAATTTCAGAGGCGCCTGGGTGGCTCAGTGTCTGCCTTCGGCTCAGCTCATGATCCCAGAGTCCCAGGATCGAGTCCTACATTGGGCTCCCTGCTCAACAGGGAGACGGCTTCTCCCTCTCTCTGCTCCTCCCCCTGCTCATGTTCTCTCGCTTGCTCACTCTCTCAAATAAATAAAATCTTAAAATAAAAAAAATAAAACAAAACCCCAGAATTGAAAATTTCAGAGTGTGGCTAAGGCAGGCCTCAGTGAAGTGACACTGGCATAAAGACAGAGGGAGGAAGGCCTGTTAAGAGAAAAGCATTCCAGTAAAGGAAACAGTAGACCTAAGGTGTGCAGTGTGTGTGCAAGATCAATGGGGATGAGGAGGGAGGAGACAAGATCATAGAGGGAAGGGTGGGGTGGCACTCTGGACACAGTGGTCCAACTTGGGTTTTTTTCCTGAGATGCTGGGAGCCATGGAGTATCTTACGCAGAGTGAGATTTCACTGGTGTGCCATAAGCAGCCCCGGGGCTGTCTGTGGAGAATAGCCCAGGGGAGCAGGGGTCCAAGCAGAGACCGGGAAGCCACAGGGGAGGAGGGGGAAACAGGCATGGTAGATGTCTCCAAGGCAGGGTCCCCACTGTCCCTGATAGAACTCACTCATGCCTGAATGTCTGAAATGGTCTGAGCAGTGATTTGGGGAGTAGAGGGGAGGGATGATCAACACAGTAAGATCATGGTCTTTATGCTTCAATTCAAAACCTAATTCCTGCTGCTCCAGAAAAGCAATGGGAGATGTGGCAAGTCTGGGCTCACACCATCTAGAGGTGACAACAGGCAGATGAGTCCCCCTGCCACACGGAGGGTCCCAGGGCACCCCCACGGCCCCCAGGTCCACTGTCTCCGACAGCAAGTGACCCGCCTGGGACCTGAACACACCAGCATTTGCTGTTCCCTCCCCCAAAGAGTTGGTTCAGGAAGAATATTCCAATCAGGGGAAAGTCAGCTGACAGGGGGATGAGGGAAAAGACCCCAAGAACCAAAGACAGCTGCCAGTGATCCGGCAGGAATGCTAGTTCAGGGCAGGCACTTTAAGCCACTCCTCACCTCCCAGAACACAGCCCCCTCAGCTGTCCACTTGGCCTCTTGAACCCCTGCAACCCACCGTTTCTACCCATTCCCCGGCCCTGCCCCAGGCCTGGCACAAGCCCTCACATCTGAGAGTCCGACCCAGCCTCCTCTAACCTACCCGCTCTAATCCACTCTCCCCAATGGCTAGAGGCATCTCCCTAAGCCCTCCCATGGCTCCCCAGCACCCCAACCCACCCCCACCCTTCACTCCAGCCAAACAGACTTGACTCACTTCCTCAAAGACAAATGCTCTCAGTTACCTAACACTTTCTCCCCTGCCTCCCCCAGCTACTCCTCCCTTGAGCCTCACATCCAGAGAGCCTTCCCCGAACCCCTAGACTGGGTGAGGTGTCTCCCCTAAGCTCCCCGAACTCTGTGCACTTCCCCTATCCTGGCCCTGACCCCTCATCACCATCTGGGGTCTGAAAGAGCAGGGCTGCAGGGGGGTCCCTCAGTCACTGTATCCCTCATCCCCCACCCCCAGTACAAAGAACAGTGGATGCTGATAAAGGAACAAAGAAAGCCTCGCGACTTCAGGGGACTGCACTAGGGGTGACAGGTCCGGACCCAGCTAGCCCACCCAGCGCTCTGCAGCGCACACCCTCCACACCCACAGTGCTCACCATGGGCTTGTCGTAGAAGGGGAAACCCTGCATGGAGCGCAGGGCATTGGTGGCGCTGCTGACCTCCTTGAAGATGACAAAGGCCTGGCCCCTCATCTTCAAGCTTCGAGATACCAGGATATCCAGGATCTGGCCAAACTGGGAGAAGATGGCGTAGAGGGACTTCTTCAGCTCTGCAGGGGGAGGAATGGAAGGCCCATGGGTGACTAGAGCTCTTGGTACCTGTTCCTGGGGTCGGAGCTTCTTTTCTGGAGCCAAGTGATGCCCAGAAGGGAAGCCATCGGCCACCTGACACAACAGCTACAGGTCAGGAATCCCTCAAGAGCCGGCAATACCAGTGGCAGCTGAGCACCACTGGGATGGGCCGGGCTATGCGCACTCCTCCTAAGCACAGAAGGCACAGGTACCTGCCCACCCCCACACCCACCCCCCCAGGGCTGCCAGATGAAGAACAGGACGCATACTGAACAACGGCACATGGCAAATACTCAATAAATGAGTATGCTTTTCCTTGTCGCCAGCACCTTGACCCAGGCCTGTGTGATGTGGCCCCGGCCAGCTTCTCCAACCCGGTCTCCCCACACTCCACCCCACTCCCGTCTCCAGTCACAGTGGCCTCATAGCCCTTTCTCAGGCCAGTACACAGAGGCTGCCTCAGGACCTTTGCCCTGGCTACTGCCTCCATCAGAAGGACCTTCCTCCAGATGTGGACCCAGCTGCCTCCTTCTAGTCACCGGGTCTCAGCAAAGTGTGCCCGCTTCAGAGGCCTGCCCTGATCACCCTGTCTAAATAAAGGTCTCCCATCATCACTCTTCCCACTCCTCAACCCCATTCTTTTTCCTTCACGGTATTTCCCACCTCCAAACTCCAGAGTTGCTGACTTACTTAGCTATCCTCAACTACAAGCCTCTCCAAATTACTGCAGTATTCCCAGGCTCAGTGCAGACTCTAGCACCCACGTTTCTCCAAACACATTTGCACGACTAAAGATACTTAAAAAAAAAAAAAAAAAGATTTATTTACTCACGGGGGAAACTGGGGTGGGGAGGGAAGGCACAGAAGCAGGCTCCTCACTGAGCAGGGAGCCCAATATAGGACTCGATCCCAAGACACTGGGATCTTGACCTGAGCCAAAGGCAGATACTCAACCAACTGAGCCACCCAGGCACCCTAAAGATACCATTAAATGTAGACAGTAAAGTTTGGTCCCTTTCATAGAAAAGGAGACATTTCAGAGTGCCTGGGTGGCTCAGTCCTTAAGCATCTGCCTTCAGCTTGGGTCATGATTTTGGGGTCCTGGGATCAAGTCCCACCTAGGGATCTCTGCTCAGCAAGGAGTCTGCTTCTCCCTCTGCCTCTCTGTCTCTCAACAAGAAGTAAATAAAATCTTTGGGGGGAAATGTCTTTTACGGAAAAGACTTCACTAAATTCTCACAATGACTTCACAAGGCAGCAACTGTAACGGTCTTAATTTTACTAACATGCAAACAGGCTCTCAGAGGATTCGTAACTGACTCAGGAGAAGGTACTTCTTAGAAAGAACCAACAGAGGGACGCCTGGGTGCCTCAGCGGTTAGGCATCTAGCTTCCACTCGGGGCAGGAGTCCTGAGTCGCCGGATCAAGCCCCACATTGGGCTCCCTGCTGGAGCCTGCTTCTCCCTCTGCCTATGTCTGTGCCTCTCTCGAATAAATAAATAAAATCTTAAAAAAAAAAAAAAAAAAAGAACCAACAGAGCTGGGACTGGGACCAGTACCCACGTCCATCTGAACCCTACACCACCGTATCTCACTAACAAACTGCCACCCCTGACAGAAATGAATCCCAATCTTCTTCAAAGAAAAGGCGGCACCTGAGCTGAAGACGCTTGCTAAAAGACTAGGTGAGGGAAGAAAAAAAAATGGTGGGGTAAAGGAGGAGGCCAGAGGTGTTTTGGCGAGATTTGCCAAAAATTCTGTTGCCTTATTTTTTTTTTAATTAAGATTTTATTTCTTGGGATATTTGGGTGGTTCAGTGGTTGACCATCTGCCTTTGGCTCAGGGTGTGATCCTGGAGTCCCGGGATCAAGTCCCATATCAGGCTCCCTGTGAGGAGCCTGCTTCTCCCTCTGCCTATGTCTCTGCTTCTCTCTCTCTCTCATGAATAAATAAAATCAAGAAAAGGAAAGAAGGAAAGGAAGGAAAGGAAGGAAAAAGGAAGGAAGGAAGGAAAAAGTACACATGCACATGAGCAGGATGAGGGGCACAGGGAGAAGCAGGCTCTCCACTGAGCAGGGAGTCTTGATAAGGGCTCGGTCCCAGGACTCTAGGACCCTGACCTGAGCTGAAAGGTATGTTCAACCACCTGAACCAGTCAGGCGACCCCTGATTCCATTTCTGGTGTTTCTCTCCCTCCTCCACCCAACATGATCTCAGTTTGACCCTCGACATTCCCCTGGACTCTGGGCCTCTCTCCCTCCTCCCCTTTTGCCCACTCAAGTTCACCCTCCTGATGTTGTCCTCACACCAGAGGGTCCCTCACCTGGCTCCTTGATGGCCTCATGAGAAAGTCTAACGGCCTACCTGCCCACAGGATCCCATGAACCATCAGTGCACTGCTCACTAGAAGGTGCTGCCTGTGTCACAAGCCTCAGTCACACAAAACTACTTGTATTTTCCAGAATGCCCCAGGCTCTCTTTTGCCCCTAGGCACCTGGACACATAGGTCTGGGTTCAGAACACTCTTCTTCCGCACCATAATATATATACTCCTTCCTCTACCCGGAAATGCTTTCTGAAATGTCTCCTTTTCCTTTTTTTTTTTTGTAAAGATTTTATTTATTCATCCATGAGAGACAAAGAGAGGCAGACATTAAAAAAAAAAAAAAAAAAGAGGGGGGGGGCAGACACAGGCAGGGAGAAGCAGGCTCCCTGTGGGAAGCCTGATATGGAACTCGATCCCAGGACCCCAGGAACACAACCTAAGCCACCCAGGTGCCCCTAAATGTCTCCTTTTCTATGAAAGAGACCAAACTCGTCTGTCTAGGTGCCCAATCCCTCCTGACCACTCTGCTTGTGCTTCCCCCATCATGGCCCTGGCTACTCTGGGCAATCACTGTCTGGAAGGTCAGTCTCCCTCACTGGACTGTGGCTCCATGAAGGCAGGACCAGGACTGTCCGTCACCAGCGTTTCTCCAGCACCACATGGTACTGGCTGCACATGATACTCTAAGAGCACGTGGGGATTTACACAGCTTGGTCCATTTTCCTCAACAGTTAACTTTATTGGTAACCTCAAAGTTAATCCCAGCAAACTCCTTCCTTTGGTTCTCCTGAGAATTTTCTTAAGGTGACAATAAAAGATAACTTTTATCCAAACTTAACTATCTCACAGGTATTTAGCTAATTTAATCCACAAAGCACTCACGCACAAAAATACCAGGGATTTGTTCAACTTTCAAATATAAAAAATGAAATTCAATAAGATGATAAATGAAACGAAAAAATATGTCCAATGAACGTTAAGAATCGAGTTCTTAAGCAGTATTTCCACGCTGGTGGCCTCAACCACTTTACCTTGCTGTGTGACTTTTGGGCAACTCACATCACCCCCGCCTGAGAAATAGGGAGTAATAGGTCCTTACTGAAGAACTGTCGAGAATTCAATGTAATAAAGTTGTATGTATCAGTGCCTAATGACTGTTAGCCATCGTATTATCATTTCATTCTCTTTTTGAAATGAAACAGCCCCACTGTGCGCTGATCATTGAGAACACAAGGCCGTCGAGGCGCTTACCCTCGTGGAGCTCACAGACTTGTGCAGACAGCCCCACAACAGCCCAAAACAATTGAGGGTTTGAGCGGGAGATATCCAGGGCCTATGGGAAGTCAGGGGCAAGGCACCTGGGGGGAAAGAGCCCGGCGAAGGATTTTTGGAGGAGTCCATTGAGTTGAAACCCTGAAGGATGAACAAAAGCGACCAGGCTAATGGCCAGAGTAGAAGACGGGCTGGAGGAGCGTTAAAGACACAGGAAGCAGCGTGTGCAAAGGCTGAATTCAGGATTAACTCGACAGTTTGGAGAAAAGAAAGAGAAGTTAATTCGAGGGACGGAAGAGGGGGCCGGCTCGCGCGAGGCAACCTGGAGTCTGGACTATCCCAACTCACCATCCTTCTTGATCTTCTCGTTGAGGTTGTTGATATAAATAGTGTGGTTGGGGCGGGTCTCGGGAACTGCCATGGAGAGAGGTGCCGAGGTAGAGCTGAAAGAAGGGGGAAAAGGTTAACTTCAGCCCCGGGTTTCTCTAAATCCTCTGCCCTAAAGCAGGCTTAACGAGCTGCTCGGAGATGGGGATCTTCCTTCCAGGAGGAAGTCCGGAGAGGAGGGAAGGAAGTACAGCTAGGAAACAAAGCGAAAGCAGGACCCCGCTTCTGCTCCCCGCGTGGTTACCAGAAGGAAATCTCGAGATGCTTACTACGAGTCCCAGGATGCTCTACGGGGCCCAGTAGGCGGAGCGTCCTAAGCGGAGACTCCCATTGGCTCACGAGCTCAAAGGGCGGCCCGGGAGAAAAAAACCCGGATACATGAGCCAGTTCAGGAGACGGCTCTGGCGCCCTAACCTCGCGCAGCGGCAAGAGAATTTCCCCACACGAGGCACGAGAAGGCCCAGGCGGCAAGCGCTCCGCCCGCCCGGCGTCCACGGCCGCGTGCGCCCGACGACTACTCACCAACAGAGTCGCAGCTCCCGCAAGCGTCGCCTCCTGCGCTTCTGAGAGCCGACTACAAAAGCTTCCTCTCTTGGTCCCGCCTTTAGCTTTCTGCAGGCCAATCCGGCGCGGAAACTCAGTAGCCTGACCAATCAGAGCCAGCCTCGCCCCTGGGTCCAAAGGTTACCAATCAAAACGACTTTTGGGTTCCCGCCTCGGCGGAAAAGCCCCGCCCGACGCTGCACCGAGGGTCTACGGACCAATCAGCGAAGGCCGCGCCCCCTCACGCGCTTCCTGCCAATGGGGAAGCCGCTCGCGCTTCAGTCTCTTCCGGGGGCAGTCCTTTGAAAGCATCTCCTCTCCCGCCCCGCCTTCTCTCGTCACGTGATCCTCCAAGGGCACGAGCCGCCAGCCCCACCACGTGATACGGGAAATATGTGTGCGGCGGCCGCCATTTTGGTGGAAGGGGAGGCGGGCTTTATTTTTTGGCTCGCCTGCGGCTCCCAGCGGTGTCGCGGCTGCCGGCGCCCTCCCGTCTCTGTGCCTTCCCCAACCCGGAGGACTTTTCCTTTTGCGCTCTGATTCCAGCACCTGCTCCACGACTAAGTCATTCTCCCTGCCGGGTGTTTTTTGATCTCTTGAGCGCTGATTCAAAGGTCAGCTCCAAGGTTCCGAACTGGGGCCCGGGATGTGAGGGGTTTCAGAGCCTAAATTCCCTAGTCTGTAGCCCCGGCCCCGAATCCCACCCGAGCGGGGCCTTCATTTTCCCAGAACTGACTCGCGAGTTTCCAAACCTCGTTCCGGATAATACAGTAACTCTTAACTACCCTCCCCCCACCTTGAGCCTTGCAGCCCAACCCCACACCAAGATCTAGTTGCGGATAAAGGACCCGCCCTGTTAACTTCTTAGATCCCCTGATGATTTGAGTCCAAATGTCAGTCCTGGTTCTTTTGAGTCCCACCGCTCAGCAGCCAAGTTCTGGAACTTCGCTCTAAAACCCTCAGAACGTCCATCCCAGCGACAAACCTATTTTAGAAGATCCAACCGTCTCCCATTCTTGACCTCCCAGCACTTGCATGCTGTAGACCCCCAAAATGATTTCTCCGTGCTCTCCTCCTGAAGAGCCCCCAGCCGCTCCTCAGAGCCCTGTTCCCCAAGCCCCCATCACTCCACTTCCTCCTCCACCCCCGGCAAGTCTCCAGGCCCCTATCCCACCCCCTCCTCTGCCACCTCCACCCCCTGTCAGGGGGCTGGCTCCCCCTCATGTCTTTGGCCTGGAGAAGAGCCAGCTCCTGAAGGAAGCCTTAGAGAAAGCTGGCCCAGTCCCCAGCAGCAGAGATGACGTCAAGAGGCTCCTGAAGCTGCACAAGGACCGGTAGGGTCTCCCTGAACCACCTGTCCCAGGGGACAGTCACTGCGTCCTGGGGTTTCCTGTTTCCTCAAGGTCAAGGAACCTGCATGCCTCAGCCCCCTGCTTAGGCCTGTTCAGGATGCGCCTTCAGCAAAGAGCCTGACCTCACGGGCACCTACCCTGGTGGCAGAGACCCATCCCTCCCTCAGCAGTGGCAGCCCAGAGCATCAGAGCTGTGATGAGGGCGTGCCTGGCCAAGGCTGGGGGTTAGTGGGGCCTGCCTGGAGAAGGGGACCCCTGAGAGCTCCCCCGTGTTGAGAAGAGTCAACAGCCTGTGTAGAGGCCCAGGCTGAAATGAAGAGTTGTTCTTCTCAAGGCTCTGCAAATATTTCTTTAACAGGTCGGGGCTGGGGGCAGGGGTGGTTGGTAAACATGGGGTTTCACAGGTGGACGGGAGCCAGATCACACAGGGGGCATGGGCACCATGTAGAGGGAGGTGGTCTATCCTGGGGGCGCCCGGGAGCTGTGGGAGGGCTTTGCACAGACAGCAGGGCTCCCTGTGGGGAGTGGAGGTGGTGACACAGTTGACAGCCCAGGGGGAAGCTGGAGCACCCAGAGACCCAGGCCGGAGGGGGCTAGACCCCAGCTGGGGCGACCCAGTTTAACAATAAGTGAGTTGCCCAGACTCACAGAAGAAACTTTCAACTCTCTAGACAAGTTTATAATCTGTTTGGTTAGAACATTTTTCCTAACCCAAGTGAGAAAAATTGAATGCAAATATTGACCATCACCCAATAGTGCACGTTTATTGTATATCAAATATTATTCTAAGTGTTTTTAGGTATTTATTTCATTCTCTTGGTGATTTTAATAATCAGAACTATTATTACATCATTTTGCAGACAAGGAAACTGAGGCTCATGGAGGTGAAGTCACTTAGTCACAGCACTTGAAAGAGCCCGATTTGCATAGGGCTTCGTGCTTTTGATCACTGTGGTGTGGTATCTTCCATCAGGATGCTGCCCCAAGCTGGGAACCAGGAACATTTTTCCCCCCAGCCTTGCTCTTTAACTGGTCTTGGAACAGAAATACTGGATAAGCAAGTTTCCCAGCCCCTCCTGAGCCCTGGGGCAGCAGCGCAGAGATCAAGATTTTCTGAGTGACTTCCCCAAGGGTGGGGCTGAGCAGACCTGCAAAGGCTCATCATGCAGGTGATCTCTTAGGCCTGGAGCATGTTGTTATCTGGTTCTTCTCTAGGCTGAGTTTAGGGATTTTCATCCCTATTTAACAGGCTTGAGAAGGGAAGGAAATCACAGGAAGGGTTTGGATATAGAGACAGCCCTTCGGGAAATTTCCCCTAATCCATTTTTCTGGCTCCAAGTTGCAGAGCTTTTGCACATCTGCTCTTTGCCCCTTCAGTAACAAAGAAGACGCAGGGAGCAGCAGGTGGGAGGATGATCCCCATTGAGCAGACAAGGACTCTGAAGACTGGAGAAGGGAAATAAGCCTCATTGGGGAGAATACAGTTGCATCAGAGCCTGGAGATGCCCTCTGGCCTTAGGACAGCTAGGCCTGGGTTCCTTTCCCTCAATGCTACACTCAATGTTCCTTTCCCTCAATGCTACACTCCCAGTCAGACCTCAAGGGGGGATCTAGGAGCTGGTGTCCACGTGACCTGAGCACGCTGTGATTCAGTTTCAGAAGTGACTTGCAATGGATCCTCTTCTGTGCCGACCTGCCCTCCCTCATCCAGGAAGGCCCTCAGTACGTGCCCTGATCTGGGACCCCAAACTTTGCTGTGCTTCCTGAGGACCCATCTGTAGGGTGGGAGGTGTGGGTACATCCCAGGCAGCTTAAGAGGAGGTGGAGGGGAGGGGAAGCAGGGGACTGGAGAGTGGGGTCCTGGGTGCATGCGCAGTGAACTGTTGGAATGCATGAGCAAGCGAGTAAGCAAGGGAACAGTCTTCAGCTCTGACCCTGCTTTGGTATCTCCTCCTGCTAGAAGCCCAGGTGACCTCTCCCTACTCTCCCACTCTCCCTGCAGCCCTGCAGCCCTAGCCTCAGGCCAAGGTCACCCTCTTCCCTGTCAGGCAGGGGAGGGAGGGAAATTCACCCAGTGCAGCAGACCTGTTCCCCACACTCCAGCTTCGGGGGCAGAGGGTACCCCGTAAAGACATGACTTAGGGGTTGGGGGACTGGGCCTGTGTCTCCCCAGGTGCGGGCTGGTGGCTCTATGGATGGCAGGCACGCTCCTGGCACCACCCAGTGGCGTCCCGCTGGAGAAACTTGTGCAGGTGGCCATGGAGAGAGGCTACACGGCCCAGGGAGAGATGTTCTCCGGTGAGTTGGGTGCAGAAAGGTCTCAAGCCACATGTGTGAGGGAACCCTTTTCTCCCCACCCAGTAGAGTATGGGGTGGGTTGTCTTCATTCTTTTTTTTTTTTTTTAAGATTTTATTTATTCATGAGAGACATGGAAGGGTAGAGAGGCAGAGACACAGGCAGAGGGAGAAGCAGGCTCCATGCAAGGGAGCCTGACGTGGCACTCGATCCCAAGTCTCCAGGATCACACCCTGGGCTGAAGGCAGACGCTCAACCACTGAGCCACCCAGGCATCCGGGTTGTCTTCAATCTGATTCCAGCTCTGCCACCCTACCCTCTGCTGGGTGGCTGTGACAAGCAGCTTACCCTCTCTGTGCCTCATTTTCTGTGTTTGTACAAAGACGTCAAGGCTGCAGTGATGATTAGAGGAGCCAATCCCCAGTTAGCCCATGGCTTGGAGCCAGGCACACAGTGATCCTTCTGTCTCTGTCACCCCTGCAGTGGCCGACATGGGCAAGCTGGCCCAGGAGGCATTGGGCTGCCAGGTTGAGCATCTTTGTGGTGGCCTGGGCGGTCCCAACAGAGCCCGTGTCCTGCAGCACCTTGTCTCCGGACATCCCTTGCTCATCCCGTATCCCGGGGCCCAGGAGGGAGCTGGGTGGGGACAGAAGGGTGGGTACCAGGGCCACACCGCAGCTTTGGCCTTAACCCCAGCACCAGCTACGACGAGGACTTCAACCACGAGCCATGTCAGAGGAAGGGTCACAAGGCCCACTGGGCAGTGAGCACAGGTGGGTCTTCCCTCCTATACCCCTGTGTGCTCACCCTGTTTGTCCCATTACCCTCACCACCCTCCACATTCTCAACCTGACCCTGACATTTCTCCTGTACTCGAGGCAGGGACCAGGGCTGGGCTTTCCCTGTCCCCACAGGGTACTTAGTAGGGACCTGGCAGGCAGCAGGTGCCTCAGTATCTGCTAATCAGGATTTCCACAGACAAGCTCCTAACACTGACTTTAGGATCAGTGTGGGCTCCAGATCTGGTCCAGCCACTTCTGGGCTCTGTGACTCTGGGTTTTCCTTCCTCTGTCTGGAAATTGGGGTGACAACGGGCAAAATGTATACAAGTCTGAATGCACAGGCGCGTTGCACATGTCAGTAAGTGTTAGCTTCGATCAGCCTTGTCGTCATCCACCCCACCTGCATGAAGGCTGATTTGCATGTTGGGGGGCCTGGATGAGGCTCCCTCGTGCCCAGGTCTGTGGCCTCGAGGGATCCTCTGAGCATTTTTTTGCTAGACAGCAGGAAACAACCGGGTAACCATGCCTGCTCTGCTTAATGCCATCTCCCCTCCCTGTGCTGCCAGACTGTTGGAGGCAAGACTTAAAAGCCTGCAGCCCTGGAAGCAGACCCCAGGTGGGCCCACAGCTCTGCTGACTGTTCCAAGACGCAGTGTGGAGGCAGCACCCACACCTGCCCTGAAGGGCTGTGGGGAGCTTGGTGAGCCCCAGCACCGAGTCAGGGCTCACTCCCACTCACAGCCTCCCCTCTCCTCCCAGGGCTTCTGCTGGGTGTGCAGGCTGTGCCAAGCCCTGGCTATGCTGAGGACCCCGAACTGCCAGGTCTGTTCCACCCGGCGCCCAGCACCCTCCACCAGCCACCGTCCCTGCCAGAGGATGGGTCCCCTGGAGCCGTCTACCTTCTCTCCAAGCAAGGCAAGAGTTGGCATTACCAACTGTGGGACTACGACCAGGTCCGGGACAGCAACCTGCAGCTGACGGACTTCTCGCCCTCAAGGGCCACCGACGGCAGGGCGTATGTAGTGCCTGCGGGTGGGGTGCAGGCCGGCCTTTGTGGTCAGGCCCTGCTCCTCACACCACAGGACTTCAGCCGCTAGCCTGCTGCAGCCCTGAGCGGGGGTGACAGGGCCCCGGCCACAACTTGGCTCTTTCACCTTTTGAACAATGCACCATTTTCTCCCTTTCTGACGGCCCATGGGTGTGGACTGTTCTGGGGAACCTCCAGCCAGAGATTCTCCATGTGGAGGCCCCCTCCCACCCCAGTCCATCCAGTCCGATCCCCTTCCAACATGCCCGCCCCCCAGTATTGGGCTCTTGCTCTGTGGCTGGGGTTAAAGCCAGGAGCCAGCGAGACAAGCTCCCTCTCTAGGGAGGGAACTGACCACAGCTCAGCCTGCAGGTCCCGCCTGCCCCACCTGAGTGTTGCATCCAGCCATTTCCCACTGGTGACCACCATCTTCTACAGCACACTCCTCTCTGGACCCCTTTCTACCCCCATGTCTGTTTCCATGGAGCCTAGGGAGCCTTGCCTTTCAAAATGCAAACCAGATCTTAACCACTCCTCTCCAGAGAAGCTTCCAGCAGGTCCTTGTCCACAGGACAGGGATTAAACTCTCCCAGCTCCAGCTCACCGGGATTTCTGCCACGAGCCATACTAGCCCTTCAAGTCCCTAAAGTGTCATATTCCCCCGCACCCAGTCCTCTGCTAAGGATAACTCCTTACTTTTCTGTTTGGCTCATCTTCCTCAGGGAAGACTCCCCAGCCCCAGGCACAGCTGCTTCCCAACCTCTCTGTGTTCTGATTTAGAAACCCACAGTAAGTGCCTCTGAGAGCAGGTCTATGTGCCAACCCCATTTGCCTGTTTTAACTCCTCAAATTCTCCAGCCAGGTAATAAGGAAGGTACTAGACCTTCCATTTTAGAGATGGAGAGACCAAGGCCTGGAGAAGTGCACTCACTGGCCTAAGGTCACAGAGCTGGCCAGTGGCAGGCCAGGACTCAAACCCAGCAGTTAGTACCTATGCAGACATGAAGAGGTTATTAATTGAATAAATACCTGTCACTTCCACTGTGAAAGGGGAGGAACAGGTCTGTCTTGGTCACTTGTGTACCCAGTGCCCAGCGAAGGGTCTGATTTGGAGATGCTGTACCGTGTGGTGTTTCTCCCCTAAAGAGTGTGCGTGCACGCGCGCGCGCGCACACGCGCACACACACACACACACACCCACCCCAGGCACCTGTGCGCCAAAGCATCCCAGCCCTGGCACCTGGTTGGCAGTGTCTGGTGCACCGTCCTGGGAGCCTCTGAGGGCACAGCTTGGAACTACCTTGGTCAGTAGTATGTTCCCCATGTTGTCCAACAGAGCCAGGCACAAGAGCAGCAGCTCGGTGAATGCTGAATGGTGAATGCTGATGGCAGACTGTTCCTGCCTCTATATCCCAAACTAGTCATTATCACATGACCCCACCCAGCACTAATGGCGAGTTTTGAAAAAAATCCACAAAGTTGACTTTGAATGTGTGATTTATTGGAGCATCACCACAGGAGGAAAGGATGTGAAGCGATTTTTGCCTCCTGTTCCCCAATGCTGCCCCAGCTAACAACTATCTCTCTCATATAAATAAGTATAAAGACGATCAGTAGAAAAGGAGCACACCTCCTCAGGTCTGGAAGACACATTAGAGCTTCAGTTTAGGGAAGAGGGAGGTGCCTGGTTCCCAGCCTCAGGCTAGGAAGCTGAAGGGACAGGTGCAGGAGGAGGGGATGGAGGGGCATCACCCATGCTTGAGGGTGCTAAGGTCTTTGGTTTGGACCAGGCTGCAAACCCCATGTCACAGCCAGCGGCCCCACCTACCTAGTCTGCACCTCTGATTCCCAAACCTGCTTTTCCACGTCTGAAAGCCCTTCCTGCCACCAGCTGGCTTGGAGCAAGGGCAAGGGGGTAGGGGGAAAGGAGAAAGTCCCAAGGCTGAAGCTGGTGCCCAAGGAATGAGGTTGTGCTAGTCACAGTGCTGACATGGGATGTGGCTGTGGTTTAGGTCTGCAGGGGATCAGCATAGTTCTTTCAGGAGTGGGGAAGATCTCATGGGGCCAGGGGAGGGCAGGACCGGGGAACTGGGTCCCACCCAACAGCAGCAGCTCTCAGACCAGCCCCATGGTGTCACACCCTCCCCAGAGTCCTTCAGCCCTGGGATGGCTCCCAGATGAACAGATGGGGCCCTAATTCTCCCAGGCAGGCAGGTGCTCCTGCGTCTGTTCGCAGGTGAGGGCTGGTTCTCTGGGGCACCAATGATGAAACTGACCCTCCCCTGGCCTCCAGGAGCCAGCTTGAGCAGGCTGGCAAGGAGGCAGTGACTATAGTCATTCCTACAGTGAGAGGCACCATCTCACACCCACACCCTGTGGCTTCTGAATTGTGTTCTGTTGAGGCCCACGGCTAGTTATGGTCTCCAGCAGCCCCTCAGAAACTTTCCTGGCTGGTGGGAGGACCCAGTCTGGTTCTGATTCACCATGAGATGCGGCCATGTCACACCCCCCTCCAGTCTAAAACCTCTGGGCACTACGTGGTCTCCAAGACCCTTAAAAAGACCTTCCACTCTGGTCTTGTGTGGTGTACAACACCACCTTTGCCATCCCCAAGGTCCGCCCCCATGGCCAATCCCGGGGCACCACCAGCCAGATGGGCACCATCCAATAAGTAAACCTGGCAGTGGGCAAGTGGGTCAACCCTGGGCCAGCCCCTGAAGGAGGTGGATCAAGTTGTCCAGACCCCAGAGGTACCCATCCTCGCGGTTGCCCTCTGCCCAGGGCAATCGGTGGCTGAGCGTCTGGTGGTCAGGCAGGGCCACTGTCTTGCCGAAGTCAATCATCCAGACCCTGGCCAGGCCAGTGTGGTCATGCACAAAGAGAAGCGAGCTGCCCACCACCTGCAGGGAGAGAGGTAGGAGGTTAGGGGGAGGAGCAAGCACTGGCTCAGGACCCTCCCCACCCAGCAAGTGGCTGAGCAGAGCAGCTAACCATGAACTCTGGAGCCAGGCTTGTCTGGGTTCAAATCCTGGCTCTGCCACTACTGGGGCTAGGTGGCCTTGAGCAGGTGACTTACCCATCCTGTGCCTCTACTTGCTCATATACAAAGTGGGAATCATGGCATAACAGTACCATTTGCCTCAAAGATTGCTGTGCGTGTTACGTGTGGGAATTCATCCACATACAGCTCTGAGGGTAGCTGCCAGTATAGCAAGTGGACGGCAAATGTTAACCATCACCCTTTTTCCTTAAGACTTTTTTATTTAAAAAAAAAAAAAGACTTTTTTTATTTATTCATGAGAGAGACAGAGAGAGGCAGAGACAGGGAGAGGGAGAAGCAGGCTCCATGCAGGGGTCCCGATGTGGGACTCGATCCTGGGTCTCCAGGATCACGCCCTGGGTTGAAGGTGGCACTAAACCGCTGAGCCACCCAGGAGTCCCACCATCACCCTTTTTCAAGCCGGGGTATAAACTCAAATGCCTGCGGGATCTTACATGGATCAAGGGAGCCCAGTGGGCACTATGAAGTGGATAATGCCTTCCCCGTGGAAGAACTGCTCAGCCCCGGCCGAGAAAGGTGACTGCCTCTACCCGCTAAGGCCGTTGGCAGCAATCCACAACCCACACACTCTTGAAGTGCCTTGTGGTGCTTGACACACAGCTCTCGGTAGATGCTGGCTTGGGCAGGGGGGAGGGGGGTGTTTATAATTAGAAATAGTACTTTCGTGGCCTTTATGGAACTCCAAGTACGCAAGCTCCTCTCCTTTTCTAGTCAGGTTTCAAACCCCACTGCTCCCAGAGAACCCAGGTGACTGAGGGCAGGGGGCAGGTGAGCAGTGGCTGTCAGGAGGGGCAGCCGCCACCCCACTCTGTTTGGCAGTTGGTGTACGGTGAGCAACCCAGTTATTGCCATGTCGCCCAGCAGGCCAGGGAAACCGGAAGTCCCAATTTTGGTGTCAAGTCTTATGTTATAGACGTTGGCAACTTATTTTTTAAAATGACAAGTCACCAGGTGAGTGAAACATGAATTCAAAAGGGATGAGGTCCAGAGGCCTCCTCTTTGTGATGGGTGTGAAAAGCCCAAAGGTAGTAACAAGGACAATGAGGATGACATTTGATGGCAATCAACATGACAGTAGCAGCTGGCACCTAAGGGTTTACTATATGGGCCGTGCTTCCACGTATTAATCCACTCTGTCCTCACCATCCCCAGGAGGCAGGTCGCAGGCCCAGGTAGCTGGGGGGTGCAGACTGGGACTCGAACCTAGAGGCCCAACTCCCAGATCAGGAATCTATCAGAAGTTGGGGATACCAGGAAAAAGAAGTGAGGGGGGCCTAAGAAGAGAGGTAGAGGAGCTAGGAGAGAAGAGGGAGAAGACACATGAGTGAGGTCACCACTTCACAGGCTTCCTGCGACAGCCCAGAATATGAGACACAGACTGCAGAGGGGACGGAGGAGGGGAGGGGGGAGAGCCACCAAATAGGAAGGCAGTTCCCATAATTGGATATAATTATTATTACAAAGTAATTTTAGGAGCAAGGAGTTACATGCACTTCTGTGCTCCAAATGGCACTTGAAGTCTGCTGGTCTAACACCTCAGCAGCCCCGTGAGGAAGATACCGTTGTTCTTCCCTGTGAGAGAAGGAGGCCAAAGCCCTAGAAGGTAAGTCACGTGCCCAGTGTTGAACATCCTTCATTGCAGACCACCTGGCTCAAGCCCATGTTCCTAACTGTCCCATCTCCCTGAAATCCCCTTTGCTGCCTACCCTAAAAGAGCAAACCCCCAAGACTTGGGAGTTCAGCTTTGCCCTGTAACTCTGTGAGTGGTTTCTCTTCAGTGTCACCTGGATGCTGACATGCGCCCCCCTCCCAACCCCCAAACACACAGGGCCTTCTGCTCAAATGGCAGCTGGGGCTCGCACCTCGTGGGTCTTGAAGAAGGGGGAGTTCTCCAGAGCTTCTCGGAGTTCTTCCAGGCGTGCCACATACTTTCTCTGTGTGAGAGGGAGCATTTCTTGGTTAGCACAGGGGCTTCGTGGGTCCTTACCCTCCTTGAGATCTGACATCTTATACCCCAACGGCGCGGGATCAGGGGAGCCACCCTGGGGACACTGGGAGGTGGGTGGAGGCTTGGTTGCCTCTGGGTGGCACAGGCAAGAGCCTGGTTGGGAGATTACAGGAAGAGCCATAATTCCTAGAAGCTCCTCCCACCAAGAGGTGGAGTCCGAGTCCCTTTAATCTCAGCTTTGGTCAAAGGACGTGCTCTGGCCAATAAAACAGGTCAGAAATGATGGTGGCCATTCTGAGCCATCAAGACATCTTACATTTTCATTTGTTCTCTGGGCCACCTGCTTCCACCCTGGGAACAAGCCCAGGCTAGCCTGCTGGATCATGAGACACAAGTGGCCAAGTTGTGAGGCAAGATGGTGAGCCCATCACCAGACATATGAGTGCAGGCCCCTCCTAGACCAGTCTGCTCCAGCCAAGACACCAGCTGACCACAGATGGTACACAATGCAGGCCAGTAGAGGCCAACCTCAGCCTAAAGCAGGCCATTGCCTTAGGAACAATGACTGTGGTGATCTTAAGCTGCTCAAATTCAGGGCATGGGTATCCCACTCACCAGGATTCCACGATTCCCGTCCACAAAGTCCTCCAGCACCTTTGTCACCTGCTCTAGCTCCTTTGTCTTCTTAAAATTGGTGTTGCAGGTCCCGTTGGCTTTCTGCAGGGCAAGGCGGGAAGGCACAGTGTCATACCTTTTCCTTTGTATGCCTGACACCAAGCAGCCTCAGGCACCTCCCAGGACCACCTGCCTGTCCCAGCATTCCTGGCTGTTCAGGAGGAGCCAGCCCACCTGCCAGCCCAGCTCCACCCAGCCCTAAGGCACACTCCAGAGCAACCAGTCCTTCCCAGTCTAACCTTGAACCCCCTGGTCGAGCCAGTCTAGCCAAGTGGACTTTGGAGAGGGGTGGGTCTGGCTTTGAACAGTGACTCTGCTACTTCCTAGCTGGCGGCCTTAAACAAGCCACCTCACCGGCCTCAGCCTCAGTTCCCACATCTGGAAAATGGGGATTACGTTGATATTTACTACCTCAAGCTGGTACAAGGATTAGAAGAGATTGGATGTGTGGATACATGGCACAGTGCCTGGCACACATTTAAGTGTGCCAGGTGCCATGTGTGCACTGATAACACGGAGGTAACAGGACAGACAGGTGAACAAGGTGGGTATGGAATAAGATCATCACAACGGGAAATAAGAATAATGAGGAAGTAAAGAGAGGACCCTGATGTAGCAGGATAGAAGTCAAGACAGGCTTCCTGAAGGAAGTGAAATTTGAAAGGAGACAGGAAAATGACTGGGAGTCAATCAGGGGAACAGTAGTGGAAAGAACAATCCTGGCAGAGGGAACAGCATGTGCAGAGGCTCTGTGGCAGAAAAGAGCAGGGCTCTTTCAAGGAAATGAAAGTGCTTCACAGTGGCCTGAAGGTAGATAAGGAGGAAGAGAGGGGGAAAAGATTAGGCTAGACCCCGGAGGGCCCCCTAGGCCAGGGAACTTCTCCCGAAAGGACTAGGGAGCCATGGAAGGATTTTGAAGAGAAGAATGAGTCAGATGTACAATTCGGAAAGATGGTTCATGGGGCTGTGGGAAAACAGGCACCCCATGTATCACTGGTGGGGTGCACAATGTTTCCACCCTTGTGAAAGGAGTCTGACAATCTCTCGCAAAACTCCTATTGCACCTCATCTTCAACACTGTCCTCCTGCTTCTGAGAATCTCGTCTACAGCCAACTGTACACACTTAACAAAGTGTCTTATGTACAAAGTGTCTTATGTACAAAGTGATTCACTGAGGCACTGTTTGTAATGGCAAAAAATGGAAACCCAGGTGGCCATCTGTAGGGGACTGTTTCTCACCCACAGAAAGCTATTACACAGCTGAGAAAGATAGGAACAGAGGAAGGAAGACAAAGAAAGGCACGCATGCAGGCATATTTTCTATGGAACAATATGGAAAACTCTCCAGGGTTCTGCTACCCTTTGTGTAAGAATGGGAGGAAGAAAATTGAGGATATGCAATTGCATTGGTTTGTATTTGCAGGAAGAACCAGGAGAAAGCCTAAAGTGGTTCTCCAGGAGCAGGCGGGGGTAGAGGGAGAGATTGGAAAGGACCGCAGTGGGGCTGGGAGAGACATTATACCCTTTCTTATCATTTTGACTTTTGAACTGTGCAAATTCCTCTTCAAGCAATTAGATGTAATTTATAACAAAGGAGAGAAAGGAGAAAGGAAAGAAGAAAAAAAAAAAGAAAATCTTTCTCCATACGGGGAAAAAGGATCCCTCCAGCTGCTGTGTTGGATAAGGATCAGAGAGGGTGAGACCAGGACCCAGGAGCCCAGGGAGACTAGGGCGGGAGAGGCCAGGGAGGTCAGGGTGGGAGAGATGGGCAGACTAGGGCAGGGTCATGGGGAGGGGGAGCAGATGGACTCAGGAGTTGCTCAGAGAGACAGATAAACAAATCTTGGTCACTGACGGGGGTGACAGAGAAGCAGGACCTCCTGAGCCCCTGTCTACTCATCTTTGACAGTCTTCTGCTCTTTCTCCATGTCCTGGTTCTTTCCAGCTTTCCCTGACAACCATGTTCCCCGAGAAGCCCAGCCTCTGATCTAGTTCTCAGCCTTCTGGCAACAGGCTAGTGGCTTCTGGCCCCCACCTTGATGCCCTCAATCCGGAAGCCCAGGGTGGAAGTTGAGCTCACGGTCTCCCTCCACTGCATGTAGCGGGGCTTGGTGACAGCACCCTGGGTATGTTCCTCAGGGGTGGGGGCCCCAGGGTCCACAGCCACCATCTTCTCATACATGTCCTTCCGGGGCCGGGGCCTTTCTCGTGCCTTCACTAGCTCCTCCTCCAGGTAGGTCCTGGGACACAGAGGATGTGACAAAGAACACTATGAGAAACAAAGATGGAAGACATACTCCCTGATATCGAGACAAGTTATAAAACTACAGCATGATGCAAGAATAGACAATCAGATCGATGTACCAGAAGAGAGTCTAAAAACAGACACACACACGTACATTCACCCAAATTATGACAAAGAAGGCCTAGCAATTCAATGGGAAAAGTGGGGCAGCCCCGGTGGTGCAGTAGTTTAGCGCTGCCTGCAGCCCAGGGTGTGATCCTGGAGACCCGGGATTGAGTCCCTCATAGGGCTCCCGGCATGGAGCCTGCTTCTCCCTCTGCCTGTATCTCTGCCTCTCTCTCTCTCTCTGTCTCTCATGAATAAATAAATGGAGTCTTTTTTTTAAAAAAAAAAAAAAAAGGGAAAAGGGAAGTCTTCTCAATAAATGGTGCTGAGTCAATAGGATTGCCATATGGAGGAGGTGGGGGAAACTTCAATACCTACCTCACACCATGTATAAAAATTAATTTTAGATGGATTTCAAATCTAGATGTGAAAGTTTAAACAATAAAGCTTGTAAAAGAAAACATAGATCTTTACAATCTTGGAGTAGGCAGATTTCTTAAATACAAAGCTACCAATCATGATGAAAAATGACAAACGGGCCTAAACTAAAAGTGCTTCTGTTATTAAGGAGTGAAATGGGGAATGCCTGGATGGATCAGCTGGTTGAGCATCCACCTCTTGATCTTTGCTTAGGTCATGATCTCAGTGTGCTGGGCATGGAGACTGCTTGGGATATTCTCTCTTCCTCTCCCTCTGCCAATACCCACCTCCATCCTCTATCTCTCTCTCTTAAAAAAAAAAAAAAAAGATTGATATAGGAAAGCTGGAGAATGTGTGTGTGAATCTCCAATAAAAGACTTGTATCGGGATCCCTGGGTGGCTCAGTGGTTTAGCACCTGCCTTTGGCCCAGGGCGCAATCCTGGAGTCCCAGGATCGAGTCCCGCGTCGGGCTCCCGGCATGGAGCCTGCTTCTCCCTCCTCCTGTCTCTGCCTCTCTCTCTCTCTATGTCTATCATAAATAAATAAATAAATCTTTTAAAAAAATTGTATTCAGAATATGTAGAGTCATAAAAAAAATTAAAAAAAAACAGCCCAATAGAAAAATGGGCAAAATATTCAAAGCAGCACTTTTCAAAAGAGGATTTCCAAATGGCCAACCAACCAACACTCAACTTCTTTGGTCATCAGATAAAGAGATATTAAAATCCTAATGAGTCACTCACCAGAATGATTAAAATTAATAAAATAGGCAATACCAAATATTGATGAGAAGATAAAACAACTGGAACTCTCACACACTGCTTGTGGGAATGTATGTTGGTACAACCACTTTGTTGTTTTTTTTTTTTAAGTTTTTTTTTTTAATTTTTATTTATTTATGATAGTCACACACAGAGAGAGAGAGAGAGAGGCAGAGACATAGGCAGAGGGAGAAGCAGGCTCCATGCACCAGGAGCCTGACGTGGAATTCGATCCCGGGTCTCCAGGATCGCGCCCTGGGCCAAAGGCAGGCGCCAAACCGCTGCGCCACCCAGGGATCCCGGTACAACCACTTTGAAGACTGAGTAGTACCATCTTCAAAAATGCCCTTTCCTGACCCTCCACCTCTGCCCCATGGCTGCCCTTGAGCCTACCTGCTGCCCATCTTGCAGTCCATAATGGAAGGGCCCTCAAAATCTGCCAGGAGATCTTCCATCTGGTTGAAGGCCTGGCCATCCCGCTGTACCATACCATAGTAGGTGGGCACGAAAGGCCGCAGGGGGTCATTCATCAGCTGTTCCAGGCTGCGTTGCTCACACTGACAGAAACGCTTTAGGATCCGGCCATCCTCTCCTGCTTGGAAGTTCCCTAGGAGCAGCACAGCCAACAAGAGGGTCAGAAGCTGGATCAGCCAGAGAATCTTCTCTCCCCATTCATCAGATCCTGGTTGCCCTCATCTTGCCTGACCCTTCTGAAAGGCTTTCTCTCCCTCCCTACAACTCTCACAGTCTTGGCCAGGATGTGCCAAGGGAATGACCATACTGCTGCTCCTTGTTTAAAGAGTCCTGTTCATAGCACCTAATGTCTTCATTTGTTTTTTTATTTTGTTTTTTTCATTTGTTTTGTCATCTCAGGTTGTGAGCTCATGATCAGCTGTGGGAATTTTTGCATGATTTGAGTCGAGAGCATGACGCTCTAAAGCGGATTTGCATTTGTTTCTGCCTGGAGTCCTACAATGCTAACTGGGGCCCATTTAAGTTAAATGACAATTCTGGCATTTCCTGGACCATGCAGACTGTGTAGATTAGAATTACAAATTCTTTTTTTTTTAAGATTTTATTTATTTATTCATAAGAGATGGGGGCGGGGGAGGGGCAGAGACACAGGTAGAGGTAGAAGCAGGCTCCATGCAGGAAACCCGACGTGGGACTCGATCCCAGGTCCCCAGGATGACACCCTGGGCCGAAGGTGGCACTAAATTTCTGAGCCACTCGGGCTGCCCCAGAATTACAAATTCTTTTTGAGGCAAATTGTATTTTCAGGTTATATTCTCCAAAGATGGGCTGCAGCAATAGCTCCTGCCCCATATGTTCTTCTAGAATTTCACCACTCCCCATCAAGAAGTGCAATCTAATTCTTCTCCCCTTAAATCTGGGAGGGTTGATGGCAGAAGCGATACTGTGACTTCAGAGTCAGCCACAAGAGGAGATGTGATTTCCACTTTATTGGCAGAGATGTTTGCTTCGTGGTCCTGAGCAGCCATGTAAGAAAACGGACTACTTGGGGACGCCTGGGTGGCTCAGTGATTGAGCACCTGCCTTCAGCCCAGGGCATGACCCTGGTGTCCCAGGGTCAAGTCCTACATTGGGCTCCCTGCATGGAACCTGCCTCTCTCTCTCTCATGAATAAATAAGTAAATAAAATGAAAAAAAAAAAAAAAAAAAAGCTTTCCAGCCAGTGGCCCTGAGACCTAGCCAACAATTGATCATGAGGCCCATGAGTGAATAAATCTCAAAAGTTTCTGCCCTGCAGCATTCAAGCTGTCCTAGCTGAGTTCTCAGATACCATGAAGCAGCAAGAAGCGACCCCTGCCATGCCCTGTCTGGATCCTGACCCAAAACCTGTAAGGGTAATAAAATGTTTTTTTTTATTCCACTAAGTTTTTGTTTAACCACCACTAACTTATGAAGGGTTTTTTTGTTTTGTTTTGTTTGTTTGTTTGTTTGTTTTGGGTTTTTTTTTTTTGTTTTTTTTTGTTTTTTTTTTTTTGGTATCTTAATCCAGTTAGAATAACTAGAACGCAGCATAGAGATGGCAGCCCTATGTTTTCGGTAGCAGGGGAGCTGGCCTTTTCAATGACTCAGATCTAGGGACAAACAAGTTAGGTAAATTCCCTTCTTGTCTTTCTTTCCTGGTGGGCCCAATTTGTCTAGTTGCCACCAGTACTGTTTTTGTAAATAAAGTTTTATTGGAACACAGACACATTTGTGTGTTTCTGTATTATCTATGGCTGCTTTCGTGCTGCAACAACAGAGTTGAGTAGTTGTGACAAAGACTGTAAGGCCCACAAAGCCTAGAGTATTTACTATCTAACCCTTTACAGAAAATGCTATGTGATGATGGGCACGGTGCTACTATGTGTCTGAGACATCATGCTAGGTTCTGGGGAAAGCCATTAGAGCTGCTGTTTATTGAGGGCCTACTATACTTTGGACATGAGGAGAGAACAAAGAATGATTGTTTATATTTACAAGGGGCCCATGTCTCAATCTTCATATACATTTTGGGTTTTTAATTATTTTTTAAAGATATTTTATTTTATTTTTAAGTAGGCTCCATACCCGATGTGGGGCTTGAACTCCCAACCCTGAGATTAAGCATCACATGCTTGGGGCACCTGGGTGGCTCCATGGTTGAGCGTCTGCCTTTGGCTCAGGTTGTAATCCTGGAGTCTCGGGATTGAGTCCCACATCAGCCTCCCCTCAGGGGGCCTGCTTCTCCCTCTGCCCCTCTGCCTATGTCTCTGCCTCTCTCTCTCTCTCTCTCTCTCTGTGTGTCTCTCATGAATAAATAAATAAAATCTTAAAAAAAAAAAAAACCTCACATGCTCTATCAACCGAGCCAGCCAGGCAACCCATTCATATACATTTTTATTTTAACCCTTCAGTTAAGCCTGCAAGGGAGGTATGGTGAGAAAACTAAGGCCCAGTGAGAGAAAGTAAATTGCCTGGGATCATCCATATATAAAGTGCAGCATGAGGAATTGAGCCCAGGACCATTTTTCCCCAGGGTTGAGGATTTGCTCCCCTATCCCCCTGGCACTGAGACAACAGGGAGCAGCCCTCAGCCCTGGTGTAAGGATGTAAGCCCTCGGCCCAGCCCTAAGCACTTCCCATAACAGACTCATAAAGTGGACGCTCTCCACCTGACATACGGGGCAAGTTGAACTCCAGAGAATGGCTCTAGAACTTTCTTTCCCTGGCCTGGGTGTCTCTGCCCAGCCAGTCTGCCACCTGCCCCCACCACCATCCCCTGCACCCCTGCTCTCACCAGCATGTCCCGACAGCTGGACCCAAGGGTAGTGTTTTCGGAAGGAAACCACGAAGGGCGAATATTTCAAAACCGTCTTCAGCTTCTTCCACGGTTTATTCTGTGTGAGGCAAAGCAAGGTGGGATCAGTGCCAGGGCTGGGGAAGGAAGGGGGTGGAGATGCTGCATTAAGGGAAACCAGGTGGACCAGGGGGCTTTCCAGGACCAGGAGATCACTGTTCCCAAGCTCACTGGGGTGAGCAAGGCCCACTACTTCAGTCATCTAGAGATCCCCCAAAAGCCTCAGCGAAGGTGGGGAAGAGTCTGTCTGTTTTTCTCTGTCCTTCTCAAATGAGTACAAATAGGTCAGGTCTTGCTGTAGTAACAAGCAGCCCCCAAGTCTTCCCCTCCACAGACACACACCAAACACTTAGAAACCTCACTTCTGTCCCAAAACCAAGTCAAACCTTCTAGAGGTGATAACAGAAGCAGGAGTTGATGAGGGGAGGCTGAACCACAGAGAAAGACAAAAACAGAAGCAGATGACAAGGTGATGACAGAGATGGGCAGAGATGGAAATGGGGATAGTCATGGGAGCTGCTCACCAAAAAGCCCCAGTTCCCCCCCTGCCAGGATGTCCCTGCCATCTTGAACTTAGGCTACTGACTTGCTGTGGCCAGTGAAACGTGAGCAGAAGCGTTAAAGCCAGTACATGATTCTCTGTGTCCTTTGCCCTGCTATAGAAGGGGGTAGGGACCGTGGAAAGAGAAATAGAAGCTTCCTCAGTCTGGGCCTTGAGTAAAAACAGCATGGAGTAGAGCCTCCTCACCCACCAGTGGCCCATGGCCCATGTGCAATATGAAATAATCCTGTGCTTTCTAAGTCAATAAATTTGGGGGTTCTTTGTTGCTATAGCAAACCCTGACCGAGCCTGACTAATACAGAGACAGGGTTACCAAAAGACAAAGAAAGAAAATATAGAAACCCAAAAAGGGAGACAGGGATACAAAATAACAGAAAAAGATAAATAGAAGCAAAGAAAGAGAGCGAACAAGCAACAGAAAACCAGTAAAGCAAACTGAAAACAAAGATTCGGTTGTATCATGTTGACTCAGTCAAGAGGTTCTTGAAAAGGGTCAGTGTCTGATTCACATGCATGAGCACACATGCACATACAAGAATATATTCTTGGCTCCAAACACATGACAGCCCCTTAGGCAAGTATTAGGAGAAGGAGACCCCACTACCCTGGCATCGGCCATGTTCTCTCCCATCTGCTCAGAGCCCAGCTACCTAGCAGACATCGAACTGATGGTGGGAAGGTCAAGCAGAGGCAGGGTGTTGGGAATGTAGGATTCAGGAAGGGCTATTCCTTCTATCCTCCAACTGCCAGCCGTGGAGAGGAGGTGATTAATAAAAGTTCCTGTTTACTAAGCACCTGGAACATTCCAGGCACAATGACAAAGACTCGGTGAGCCATAACCTACTTAATCCTAAAAACACAACTCCAGGAGGATTGTTGACTATGTGTTACAGAGGAAACGGAGGCTCAGAGAGATGAAGTCACTTGCCTAAGTCACACAGTACAGCGCTAGGGTTCTAACGTAGAACCCACTGCCCTGGGCTTACACACTATACCCCTGGCTGGACTATGAACTCTGAAGGCAGGGATTGGGGTTATCATGGTTATGCCTGTGCCTCCATTCCATGGCCTAGCACACAACAGCCACTCCAAAACCTTGTTTGGATTGAAAGAGGTTAGTTATAATGGTCTTTTTTTTTTTTTTTTTTTAATCGTAAGCAGATTCAGTATCTTGTCTCTTTCTTGGACCTGATGGTTAATCCAGGCTTTCTCTGATGGTTTCACAGTGGTCTCATCACCCATGCCCCCTCCTCCTGGAAGCCCTCTCTGATACCCCAGGTGCAGCCAATCACACCCCATAACCACCCCCCCACACTCACCCCATGGTCTGCCACAACACTCAGCTTCTCCCTTCCCAGCCCTGACCACTCTGTATGGTGATTGGTCTGTCTTCTCCACTGGCCTGGGCGTCCCAGGAGGGTAATGTCTCTGTCCCCACTGTGTCCCCCGCAAAGCCAACACAGGGCCAGACACATAACAGAGGCTCAAGGACTGTTGGTTGTCTGATTAGGAGGACAGGAGGGATGTGAGAAGGAAGGGAAGCAGGGAGGAAAGGAAGAAAGTAGTGGGACTTTCAGGTTGGATGGGATTTCAAAATTAAGCAGGAAGGAAGCAAGAGTTTGTTTTCTGGGCAGTGGGAACAGCTTGAGCAAAGAGGGGAGGCAGGATGGTGGCAGAGTGTTCAAGGAACAGTGTGGCCTTCGGCTTTGTGGCAGTGTAGAGGGACAGGAGGGGAGGCCGGGAAGCCGCCTGGAGACAGGAAGCTCTGAACACAGGACTGAACTTCTGATCACTATCTGGAAGGCCCTGGGGAGCCACAGAAGGCACGGAAAGCAGGGAAAGTTCACAAGTTGATCAGAAGTGGGTCTTGGAGGCAGATTCTGGAAGGATGAAGAAAAACTGGAGACAGGGAGGTCTGGGAGGAAAGCGAGTTAGGGACAGATCCATCCATTCACCCCAGAGGCTGAACCCTGAAATAACAGGGTTTTAAACTCAGCCAAGCCAAAACTGAGTTAGAATCTTGGCTCCGACCAGCCTTGGCCGACCCTGAGCAAGTGACCGAACCTCTCTGAACCAGCTTCCTCATCTATGAAATACACATGATCGAGAAAGAAAGAAAGAAAGAAAGAAAGAAAGAAAGAAAGAAAGAAAGAAAGAAAGAAAGAAGAAAGAAAAGAAAAGAAAGAAAGAGAAAGAAAGAAAGAAAAGAAAGAAAGACACAAGATCATAATCCCGATCTCATAGTGCTGTTATGAGGACTCAGGATTAACACATACACAACACTTAGAAAACTGCCTGGTGTTCCAAGGGTTTGAATCCCAGGTCTGTGTCTTTCAAAATGTGTGACCTTGGACGGGCGTCATGACCTGTCTGGACCTCAGTTTCCCCATCTATGAAATGGGAATAATAATAGTATCTACCTCATAGGGCTGCCATGAGGATTAAGTGAGTTAATTCGAGTGAGGAGCTTAGTATATAGAGCTGGGCATAAGTGAGAGCTAGCTGCTATTTTTTCCCCCATTCACTTCCAGATCAGCTGTTTTGAAATGCCAAGAACGTGAGAGAGTAGGTGGAGGGAACAGTTAAGGCAGAAAGACCAGAGGGTTAGCTCCTTTCCTCTGGCACAGGCAGGTTGAGGCAGGTCTGTCTCTACCCATGGCCACATGTGTGAGCATGTTCCTAAGGGAGGCCTGTGGGGTGAGGGGGGCTCAGGGCAGACGCCAGCCAGAGGCCCCAGGAGAATGGGAGGACTCAGTAGGCCAACCCACTTGAGGTTCTCACACCTGCCTCTGTGCTGACCCTCCCTGAACCTGCCCTGCCAGCCCTCCTGATTCACCAGGGAAGAACCGCACCCAAGCTGGGAGTGAAGGTGGAGGATGTAAACAAGAATCTGCAGAGGGCCCTCTGGGGAGCTGGGGGGTGTGGGGGAGACCAGGAAGGTCCCTGGTTAAGTTGGGGGTCCTTAGCATTTTGGGCTCACACAACCCTTTAAGAATCTGATAAAAGCTGGGGGGACTCACTCCCTACAAAAGTGAATGGCTCAAGGGTAGCAAAGGTTCATGACCCCTTAAGACAGCCACAGGCCCTAGACTAAAAAATTTGGGGTAAAAGGTGTACCCTTTCTGTCTTCCTACACTAGAGCTCTTCAGATTTTGAGGTTACATACTTTCTAGAAGATCCAACAGAAGTCATGCACACTTGCTGCAAAAATCTATGTGTGTATGCACACAGATTCACACGATCACACAATTTCAGGAGTTCCTGGGCACCATTAAGTCAGCCAGTGGCTGTCCATTTTAGGCCCTAGGACCAGAGGCGTGGAGGAGGAGAAAAGGAAAGGATTAGGAGGGTGCCTGGAGTGGGCTGGTAATCCGGCTGTCAGAGGGAGGAGGTCGACAGGTGGAAGCGGTACCCGGGAGATGAAATTGTTGGTGGCTGCTAGAAAACTTCTCAAAGCAAAAGCGGGTGGGGGGGGGCGGTTAGGGGTCTTGGGGGGATGTGGCTTAAGGGCAGGATGGTCCCCACTCACCCCAGACCTGTCCTCAGGGTCGCTGGCACCTCCGCCCCCGGCCACCACATCATCCTCAGACTCGTCGAAAGAGGAGGCAGAGGAGAAGCCGCCATTGCCCCCCTCAGCACGGGAGGGGGGTCCCACTGGCTGAGCCTCGGGCTCTGGTGTTTCAGGAGTGATGATAAGGCGGGGTACAGGGGTCAGGAGGCTACACTCCAGGTGAGAGTACAGGTGCGTCCCCAAGTCCCCAGGTTCTGGTTCCTCTAATGGGCCATCCTGCTTGGATTCGCCCAAAAAACAGTCTGTCCCAGGTTCTGTCTGGGGACCATCAGTGCCAGGCCGTGTCCAGGAGCCAACAGTATCTTGCTGTGTTGGGAAACCATCAGTGCCAACCTGTGTGCAGGCTGTTCCAGTATCCCGTTGTATCTGGGAGCCATCAGTGCACAGTTCTTTCCAAGAGCCACCAGCATTTGGCCCTGTTGAGGGACGGCCCCCCTCTGGCTGAGTCCGGAGGTTGGACCTGTTATTATGGGTCCAGAGGTTATGCGCCCAGGTCTTGGCCCTCTCTGGTTGGGTCTGTGACCCATGAATTTCTGTCTCTGTCCACGGCCCCGAAACACCGCGCTGCGTCCAGAGGCTGGCCCTCTCTGACTGAGACTGGAGGTCAGACCTGTGTGGATCCGTCCAAAAGCCATCTGTCCCAGTTTCCGTCCAGGGACCGGCTGTCTCCAGCTCTGACCAGTGGCTGCTCCTTTCTGGACACGTCCGGAGGCTGGATTTGTCTGGCTCCGTCTTTCGGCCGGGCCGTTCTGTGTCCCCTCCGAGGCCAGCTGCTTCAGGCTCACCCTGTCCGTCTGTCCCCTGCTCAGGCCCGAGGCCGACCCTCTCGGGCTCCGTGTGGAGGCTGCACCCCTCGGTCCCGGCCCAGGGCCCGCCCCCGTCCGGCCGCCCCGCCGGGCCCCCTGCGCCGGGCCCAGGGCGCTGCTGCCCGGGCTGCCGCCGCCGCCCCCCTCGCGGCGCCTCCAGCCCCATGCGGGCCGCTCCCGGCAGCGCCCCGGCCTCTGCCTCGCTCAGGCTCCCCCGGCACGGGCAGCGCCGCATGCCCGCTCCCTAGCTTCGGGCTTCCACCGACCCGGCCCCTCCGGCCCCTTTAAATCCCGCGAGGGGTGTGGCTGGGGAGCCCCGACTCGCGGGTTCCGGCCGGCGGAGTCCTGCCCGATCGGCCACGCAGGGGTTAACCGATACTCTCCCCCGCCCCGCCGGGAAAGCCCCGAAGCCCCGCCCCCACCGGACGTGACGCAAGGGGGCGGGTCTCGCCCGGTCCCGCCCGCTCCAACGAGAGGGGCGGGGCTCCGAGCGCTCGGAGCTGGTCCAGCGTGGATATGGGCCGCCGGACTCCCGGCTGCGGGGCTGTGTGGTCCCTTCCTAGACCCCGCAACTAATCCGACCTACCTGCACCCTCGAGTGACCAACTTAGCCTCCCCGTAGCCCTCGGTGACGAGTCCAGCAGCGCGCCCATTCTTCAGATGGAGCATGGACTGGCTTGCAAAGACTTGGAAATCCTACTGACCTGGGTTCAAGACCTGCCTCTGCCACTTTTACCTGCAGTGTGTGGCTTTCTTTCCCTCCCACCTGCCCCAGTCCCAGGGCTCAATTTTCTCACCTGTAAAACGAGGATACATAATATTACTTATTGTTTCAGAAAATGTGTGCTGGATGCTACAAGAGCCAAGTATTTTTGCCAACAGTGATCTTGAGTCCCAGAGCGGTGAAAGAATTTGTCTAAAGGCAAAATGAGGGCATCCCTAAGTGGCTCAGCGGTTTAGCGCCGCCTTCGGCCCACGGTGTGATCCTGGAGACCCGAGATCGAGTCCCACGTTGGGCTCCCTGGGTGGAGCCTGCTTCTCCCTCTGCCTGTGTCTCTGCCTCGATCTGTCTCTCTTTCTCTGTCTCTCATGAATAAATAAATAAAATTTAAAAAAATAAAGGCAAAATGAGGGGCACCTGGGTGGCTCAGTCAGTTGAGCATCTGCCTTTGGCCCAGGTCATGGTCCTAGTGTCCCTGGATCAAGCCCCATATCTATGGGGAGGGGAGAGGATACTCTCATCAGCAGGGAGCCTGCTTCTCCCTCTCCATCTGCTGCTTCCCTGCTTGTTCTCTCTCTCTCTCTCTCTCAAATAAATAAATAGAATCTTAAAAAAAATAGAGACAAAGTGAGGTTAGATGAGGGGCAAGCCAGAACCTTAACCCTGAAGTGAGGGTGCCTAGCTTTAAATCTTGACTCCAGCACTCACTTCTTCTCTGAGCCTGTTTTCTCATCTGTAAAAAGGGGATAGCAGGGATAATTTCCTCACAGGACCACTATGGGAGTTTTTATTTATTTATAACAGCATTTACATTTGTGTTAGAGAAAGAGTCAGAGGTTAAAAGAGTATTTTCTCTAAATCAGATCATATCCTCTGCTCAGAACCGTCCATGGTCCCCATCCCACAGGGTAAAAACGATAGTCCTCATTGTGACTCACTATCCCCTAAGTGATCTGCCCCTAGTTACATCCCAGACCTCCTGTCTTTCCCCCTCACTAAGTATGTCCATCAGTCTCTTTGCTATTTCTCTGACATATTTTCCACCACAGGGCCTTTGCACTGGTTATTCTTTCTGCCTGGAATATTTTTCCCGCAGATATTCCAATAGCTCCTTCCCTTGCCTCTTTTAGATCTTTGTTCAAATGTTACCCTCTCAAATACCTCTTCAGTGAGGTCTTCCCTGACCACTCAAAATCTGTTTAAATGCAAGATCTCTACTTCTTGCCCCCCTTCCCTGGTTTATTTTTCTCTTTAACACATGTCATTTTTAAAAACATACCTACTTATCCCACCCCCCCCATTGGAAGCCAGCACATTTGCCAAAAGAGCAAATATTTTTGGCTGAATTACTCCTTGTTGTGTTCCCTAGAAAAGCCTAGAGGGATGCCTGGGTGGCTCAGTGGTTGAGTGTCTGCCTTCGGCTCAGGACATGATCCCAGAGTCCCGGGATCAAGTCCCACATGGGGATCCCTGCATGGAGCCTGCTTCTCCTCCCTCTGCCTATGTCTCTGCCTCTCTCTCTCTCTCTCTCATGAATAAATAAATAAAATATTTTTAAAAAAATTCTTAGAAATAAGTGCTTAACAGGAAATTTGGAAAGTGTGACTTTTCCATAAGAAATTTCTCTCAGGGATCCCTGGGTGGCGCAGCGGTTTGGCACCTGCCTTTGGCCCAGGGCGTGATCTTGGAGACCCGGGATCGAGTCCCACGTCGGGCTCCCGGTGCATGGAGCCTGCTTCTCCCTCTGCCTGTGTCTCTCTCTCTCTCTCTCTCTCTCTCTCTCTCTCTCTCTCACTGTATGCCTATCATAAATAAATGAAAATTAAAAAAAAAAAGAAATTTCTCTCATATGGGGTCCTGGCTGGCTCAGTCAGTAAAGTATGTGACTCTTGATCTCAGGGTCATGAGTTCTAGCCCCATGTTGGGTATGGAGCCTACTTAAAAAAAGAAATTTCTCTCATGAAAAAAAAAATTCTCTCATGTATAGAGCTCTTGTCCTGTACCAGGTCCTGTGCTGAGCTCATTACAGACACTGTTTTACTACATCTCTTTCTTTCATTAGCACTGAGCGAGATAGGATGCCACAGCTCCATTTTACAGATGGTACACTGAGGCTCAGAAATCTTCCAGTCTCTAGCCTTGCTTGTAGCCTTTGGTATGACCTCAGAAAGGTGCAGCATGTGGCATTGGGCTTGGCACTATCAGCCACAGTCCTGTAGGGTTAATTATCGTCATAGGTGTTTTTTATATATTTTTGCCCCCAAGGGTGAGCTGTCACCCAGCTCCTGAGTCACACCTTTACGTCTGGAGGGTGACAGGGGGTGTTTTGTCTTGAAATTGAGTCATCTGGGGGTGGGGCATTGGGCACAGGCCCAGGGCTCTAAAATGAGTCATCTGTTCACAGACCAGTAAGAAATCATAGCGGGAGCCCCCTAACAAATCACACAGGCTGGGAAGATAAAGTGCAGAAAGAGTTGGGGCTCTTCTGAGGTCATAGCACGGGGACAGAGACAGGGAGGTCTGATTTCCAACAAAAGGAGTTAGACAGTGGGCGGGGGGATTTCTGCGACGAAAGCGTCACATCCCTCCTTCTCCCAGCGGTGGGAGAGATGCCCCAGCCAGCTGCTTCTATTCCAGACTGTGAGGAGGGGTGAGTCAGTGGGGGGAGCGGGCTATAAGCCGGCCTGCCTCCCCCTACCCCCCCGCGCCCCAAACACACACCCAGATGGGCTGGGAGCTGGTTTTCTGGGATGCCAGGGCTCCTGACTCAGCACTGGGAATCTTGGCTGAGCGTGTTCTGGGAAATGTCAGGCCTACAGGAAACAGAGGGCTCCCACTCACACCATCCCGCAGGTGGGCGGGGAGTGGAGAGAGAGCAGGGTGTATGAGAGAACAGGAGCCCAGTGTGCAAGGGGCTGAGCAAGACGGAGTTTATATGGGGGGGGGGGGTGAGAGTATGAGAGGGAGACAGTTGGCAAGCAAAGCAAAGGGTTTATATGTGCAAGAGAAGAGGCTGGGTGCCAGGGTGTGGGTGCCTGAAACAGCGGGTGGATGTGCAAAGTGGAGGGGCTCCCAGTGCAAGGGAAGCGTTTGCTGGGGAGACGTGGGTTCAAAGGAGAGGCGTCCAGTCCGCTGAGGGGGTCAAAGTAAGAAAGCAGGCCGGCAAGATGTTCGTGCAGGGAAGAGACGCGGAGGTTGTATGGGGCGTTTGCAAAAAAGACAGCGTGGGGAAAGAAAGGTCTGCCACGCACGCGGCGCTCAAGTGCGCGGAAGGGCATAAAAGGGCACGTGTGCACCCCAACAATCCCAGCAGGCCCCAACGCCCCCGTAGGCCCCGCCCCCAGCCCCGCCCCCGACGCACAGCGGAGCGTGCTACGCGCCCGGGAGTGAGCTGCTGCTCCACCATTGGCTAGCTGAGCGGAGGGGGCGGGCGTGCAGACACTCCCGGAAGCGCTGGAGGCTCCCGCTAGTAGCGGACCGGGATCCTGGGAACAGTGGGTGCTTAGCAACGGGGGGAGGTGCCCAGTAACGGGCGAGGTGGGGGGGAGGAATTGTGGGTGCCTAGCAACAGAGAGGGAGGCGGTGCCTAGCAACGAGGGGGGCCCCGAGGAGTGGAGAGGTAGCCCCGGAGAATCTGTGGGTGTCTAGCAACGGGGGAGGACGCTAGCAACGGCGGGGAGTGGGACAAGGGGAAAGTGGGTTTTGGGAGGTGCGCAGGAAGAGCTATGGGTTCCTAGCAACCGGAGAGGAAACCAGGAGAAACTGGGGGAACTAGTAGCAGGAAAGGAAGTCTTTGGTGGGTGGGAATCTTAGAGTGGACGCGGAGGAATGTGAGGGCTTAGCGAAGACAAGGGCGAAGCAGGGAGGTCAGTGCCAACTCCTACTCGAGTAATCCCTCCCGTTCTCCCCCAGGCGATGTGGCTGGAGGTGGGGGGCTTACTGCGGGGGACCTGTGGACAGCTGGGCCGGACTGTTGGTCTGCCTTGTGGGGCCCTGGGGCCTGGGCCCCACTGGCGGGTAAGACGGGGAGCGGTCTCCAAGGGGAGGAGGCTGAGGGAGGTGTTAGGCGGTAAAGTGACAGGGAGGGGCCCCAAAGGGCCAGGCGGATCCTATGTCCTCCACTCCTTACCGATATCCACTTTTCTTGCAGGGGCCATGTGGGGGTTCGCGGGCCCAAATGCTTCATAAGGATGGGCCTGGTAGAGGCCTGGGTGAGGAGGACATTCGCAGGATACGGGAGGCCCGGGTCAGGAAGACATCCCGGCCCCAGGTATCATTGGCTCCCACCCACCCCTCAGACCCTGTCAAGGCAGCTGATCTCCCAAGCTTGGGGAAGGGTATGGGGGCAGGTTGCTCGGACTCCCTGGGCACTATGCTCACCTTCCCAGCCTCAGACCTTCTCCCCATTTCCCAGCTGAGCGACCGCTCTCGAGAACGCAAGGTGCCCGCTTCCCGCATCAGCCGCTTGGCCACCTTTGGGGGTAGGTGTGACTGTGGAAAATTGTGACCTAGATCAGAGGAGGCCACATTTACAGAATAAAGCAAGGGGGGAGAGGGTGAATCAGAGACAGGGGGAGTAGTGAGAGATGGAAAGAGAAGGAAGGCAGAGGCCTACAAAGTGAAGAGAAACAGAGGAAGGAAACATTTTTTGAGCGTTTGGCATGTACAAGGCCCCATGTATACTTGATATCTCTGCACTGAATTAATGAGTGTTAATTTCCACTCTTTATATGAGGAAATGGAGGTGAAGGGAACCAAAGTGACTTGACCCTAAATTATGCAGCAAGATTATTCAAACTTCAGGTCACAGTCTGCATGAAATAATTTAGTGGGTTGGAACCAGCATTAAAAAGAATAGAATGGTGGATGCCTGGGTGGCTGTTGCTTAAGCGACTTCGGCTCAGGTCATGATCTGGGGGGCTCTGGGATTTTTTTTTAATCTTTTTTTTTTTTTTAAGATTTTATTTATTTGACAGAGAAAGAGTATGCACAAGCAGGGGGCAGCAGGCAGAGGGAGAGGGAGAAGCAGGCTCCCCACTGAGCATGGGGCCCAATGGATGCAATGGATGCAGGGCTCCATCCTAGGACCCTGGGATCATGACCTGAGCTGAAGGCAAACGCTTAACCAACTGAGCCACCTAGGCGCCCCTCAAATTAAAAAACTCTTAAGAAGAAGAAGAAGAAAAAGAAGAAGAAGAATGGAAAATATAGGTGCACATGTAAAGGAAATTCTTTTTTTTTTTTTTTAAGATTTCATTCATTTATTCATGAGAGACACAGAGACAGGGGCAGAGACATAGGCAGAGGGAGAAGGAGTCTCCTCACAGGGAGCCCGATTCAAGGCTCGATCCCTGGCCCTGGATCACACGCTGAGCTGAAGGCAGAGACTCAACCATTGAGCCACCCAGGCGTCCCAAGTAAAGGACCTTCTTATTTAATGGCATATGTCTTTAGTATGGATCATGGTTCAAATTTTAAATGTACTGGTTGACAGTATGAAGAGGGAGTTAAATGCACTGGTTAGAGTTTTGATACCAGACTGCTCAGGGTTCAAGGGATGATTCTGCGGCATTCTCACTTCGTGACTCTGGACAAGTTACCTAACTTTCTGAGCCTTGAGATTTCCTTTTCTGTGAGGATAAAATGAGTTAATGCATATAAGTCCCCAGGAATGGATCCAAGCACATAGCAAGCGCTCAGAAAAGGCCAGCTACAATGATTTACAGAGATGGTGATGGTGAAAGAGGCAGAGAGGGGACCCCTGGGTGGCTCGGTTGTTGAACATCTGCCTTCAACTTAGGTCATGATCCCCAAGTCCTGGGATTGAGTCCTGCATCAGGCTCCCAGCGGGGAACCTGCTTCTCCCTCTGCCTATGTCTCTGCCTTTCGCTTTGTGTCTCTCATGAATAAATAAAATCTTTAAAAAAAAAAAAGGGCAGAGAAACTCAAGGTGTCTTTAGGGACAAGGAGAGAAAGGAGGCAGAGGAAAGCAAATCCAGAGAGATAACATCAAAAGGAGGGACACAGAGAAGCCTGAACAGCTGTGCCAGGTGGAGGGAGGGGGAGGGGGAGAGACAGAAAAACCAACTTATATGAGGAGAGGTGGGCCTGAAGAAGATGAACTGTAGACAGAGAAATGGAAGTCATAGGAACACAGAGAGACCCAGGAGGGTCATTTCAGGGCCTTCTTACCCTTGGCTGCGTGCTAAAATCATCTGGGATGCTTAAAATACATACATGAATTCCAAGGCTCATCTCAGGTCACATTAAGGGAAAACTTCAGTGGAGGGGCCTGGGCCTCATATTGACCAAAGTCCCCCGGAGGACTCAGATGTGCAGCCAGGGGTGAGATCCGTCAGTCCAGGAGACAGACGTGGACAGAATGATGGAGAAAGAGGTAGCTGTACCTCCAAGGGAGCCCCAAGCAGGGAGAGAGTAAGAGACTGATAAGAGATAAGCAGAGAGTTGCCAACAGAGAGCTGGTGGTCAGGTTGCTTAGGGAGAAACTGAGAGCAGACGGGGTCGGGGGACAAGGCCCAGGGGTGAGCAGGCAGGCACCCAGGCTCTTGTCTTACTCTGCAGGACTGGCTGTGGGCTTGGGGCTGGGAGTGCTGACTGAGGTGGCCAAGAAGTCCCTGCCAGGAGGACGTCTACCAGCAGGTGAGTGATCCACGCTGCCTGGGTTCAGACCCTGGCCTTGCTGTGTGACTTGGGGCAAGTGGCTTCACCTCTCCGAGCCAAGTTTTCTCCTGAAGAAAATGGCTGATAATGTACCCACCTCTCTGGGTGCCTGGGTGGCACAGTAGTTGAGCGTCTGCCTTTGGCTCAGGGCGTGATCCTGGGGTCCTGGGATTGAGTTCCACATCGAGGTCCCCACAGGGAGCTTGCTTCTCCCTCTGCCTGTCTCTGTCTCTGTCTCTCTCTCTCTTTATCTCTCATGAATAAATAAAATCTTAAAAAAAAAAATGTACCCACTTCTCAAGGTCTTCATGAAGCTGCCAGAAGGGTCATGATGGGCAGAAGCCTATAGTGTGAGAAAAACAATTAGAGTTTGAGTTCCTACAAGTTTTTACAAAAGAAAAAATTAAAATTAAAAGGTGGGTTTAAGTGGAGGATTAGGCTTTAGGTAAAGCCAAACTGGGTCTATACCCAGCTCCAGCTCTGCCACTTCTGTGCTGTGTGGCCCAGGGCCAGGCACTGGACCTCTCTGAATGTCTTACTTCCTCACCTTGAAAATTGAGGCACTGGTAGTTCTTCCTTCTGGGCTAATTGTGGGGATTCAGCCAGAGAATCCACAGAGACACTTGGAACTCTGCCTGGCATAGAGTGAGCCCTAGCTAGATAAAGAGCTAATAAAAATTTTTTTTTAAAGATTTTATTTATTTATTCGAGAGAGAGTGCAAGTAAGAGAGAGCACAAGCAGGGGGGAGGGGCAAAGGGAGAAGCAGACTCCCTGATGAGCAGGGAGCCTGATGCAGGACTCAATCCCAAACCCCAGGATCATGAGCTGAGCAGAGGCTTAACCAACTGAATGACCCAGGCACCCCAAAGAGCTCAATAGATTTTTTATCAAATAAATAAAAGCTTAATAAATGCTATATTGAATAAGCATATAATTTGTATACAGAGCTATACACATATCCTAAGCGTATAGCTTGGTCCATTTTCACAAAGTAGATACATCTGTGTACCCCGATCAAGAAACCCTAAGACAGGGACGCCTGGGTGGTTTAGCAGTTGAGAATCTGCCTTTGGCTCAGGGCGTGATCCCAGGATCCGGGATCGAGTCCTGCATCAGGCTCCCTGTGAGGAGCCTGCTTCTCCTTCTATCTATATCTCTGCTTCTCTCTGTGTGTCTCTCAGGAATAAATAAATAAATAAAATCTTGGGACTCCTGGGTGGCTCAGTGGTTGAGCATCTGCCTTTGGCTCAGGGCATGATCCCGGAGTCCTGGGATCGAGTCCCGCATCCGGCTCTTTGCATGGAGGCTGCTTCTCTTCCCTCTTCCTATGTCTCTGCCTCTCTCTCTGTCTTTCATGAATAAATAAATAAAATCTTAAAAAAAAAAAAAAAAGAAACCTTAAGACAGCAGTTCTCAAACTTTTCAGTCTCCGGATCCCTGCACACCCTTACAACTTAGGAATGGCTAAACAAAATATGTTATATTCACCTGGTGGGATATTATCGAGCTATAAAAGGGAATGAAGTACTGATCCATGCTACAGTGTGGATGAATCTTGAAAACTATCCTAAGTGAAAGAAGCCATACGCAATAAGTCACATATTGTATGATTCCATTCATATGAATGTCCAGAATAAGTAAATGCATAGATACCACAGATTAGTAATTTCTGGGGCCTCGGGTTGAGGTGGTTGGGAGAAATGGGGGATGACTGCTAATAGGTATGGGGTTTCTTTTTGGGCTGTGAAAATGTTCCAAAATTGCTTGTGGTGATAGTTGTACAACTTGAATTATATACCTTAAATGGGTGAATTACATGGTTTGTGAATTCTATCTCAATAAAAAATAGAATAAGGACCCCAAAGAACCTGTTTATGGACTATATTTTGTGGTTATTTTTATGGATATTTACTGCATTAAAGATTAAAATAGAATATTTTTATTTTATTTTTATTTTTTTAAGATTTTATTTATTTATTCATGATAGACATATATATAGAGAGAGGTAGAGACACAGGCAGAGGGAGAAGCAGGCTCCATGCAGGGAACCCGACGTGGAACTTGATCCCAGGTCTCTAGGATTAGGCCCTGGGCCAAAGGCAGGCGCTAAACTGCTGAGCCACCAGGGATCCCAAATAGAATATTTTTAATGTTTCAAGGTGTTATTTAAATTCAGTTAACATATACAGTAATATATTAATTTCAGTAGAAAACAAATTTCTATTTTTTATTTTTTAAAGATTTTATTTATCTTATTTATTTTACTTTTTAATTTATTTATTCATGAGAGACACGGAATGAGAGAGGCAGAGACACAGGCAGAGGGAGAAGAAGCAGGCTCCATGCAGGGAGCCTGATGCAGGACTCGATTCGGGGACTCCAGGATCAAGCCCTGGTCCAAAGGCAGGCGCTAAACTGCTGAGCCACCCAGGGATCCCTATTTATTTATTTATTCATGAGACACAGAGAGAGAGGCAGGCTCCCTGCAGGGAACTGGACTAGACCGGAATCACACCCTGAGCCAAAGGCAGACGTTCAATGGCTGAGCCACCCAGGCATCCCGAAAACAAAATTTTAAAACACAAGGATACACACACAGGTGATTCCATCAGCCGTCAAAGCAATGGCATCATCAGAGGTCATGGAGTTTCTGGAAAACTCCACTAGACATTTATGGGAGAATGAGAGTAAAAAAGGGGCAAATAACATTAATATTATAATGAAAATAATTTTGATCTCACAGAGCTTCCTGAAGGGTCTCAAGGGGACCCTCAGTGTTCCCAGAACCACAGTTTGAGAATGACTGGCCTCATTCTCCAGAAGCTCTGATCTGCCCTGTCTTGGCTACTCATCCCACCAAGGGAAACCATTATCTTGGCTTCAGACCCCCAAGATCAGTTTTGACTGTTTTTCCTCCTTACACCAATGTAACCAGACAGCATAGTCTCATGCATGTCTGGCTGCTTTTGCTCAACATTCTGTTTAAGGGATGCCTCCATGTTGCTGTGCATGGATGTAGGTTGTTCATTCAATGCTGTAGGAGTCACTGTTCCATCCTGCCTTTGTTCATTCTCTTGACAGTCATTTGGGTTATTCCATTTGGGGATAGTTATGAATAGTGCTGCTGTGAACCATCTTGCAATAACTGTCAGTGGACACCCATATGCCATATATACCTAGGAGAGAAATTACATTGGCTGTAGGTGTGTGCTCTCTGGAAGCTTCCCAAAGGGCTTGTGCCATGACTCTCATCGGCAATATGGGTATTAGGCTGCTCTACATCCTTGTCAACACTTAGTATTGTCTGTTTCATCTTAGCCATTATGCAGTGGTGCTATCATGATTTTTTGTGTGATCATAATACTTACGATTATTCTCTCCACCCCAGAGAGCAGCTCCCGGCCAGGCTCCAGCCCTTTCCTGTCAGAGGCCAATGCCGAGCGGATTGTGCAGACCTTGTGTACAGTTCGGGGGGCCGCCCTCAAAGTTGGCCAAATGCTCAGCATCCAGGGTACAGCATGACCCTCAACTCCTGACCCTCGACCTCACTTCTTCCCCACCCCACCCACCCACAGATATCCCACTGGGGCCCCACCTCACCTCCTCCCTCACTATTTCCCTTGTCCCCCTGTCTCCCAAGACAACAGCTTCATCAGCCCTCAGCTACAACGCATCTTTGAGCGGGTCCGCCAGAGTGCCGACTTCATGCCCCGCTGGCAGATGCTGGTGAGTGCCAGGGAAGACTGGTGAGGGAGGCGTGCTCCACCTGCCTGATCCCCCTGTCTGACTCTGAGCCTCAGTTTTCCCATCTGTAAAATGGGGATCACTAAGGCATATATTTCAGAGGATTGTTGAGAGGATTACATGAGAGGATGGTGCACAGTGGTAAGTCCAGCCCCTGGCAGGCTCTGGGCCCTGTCATGGCTACTAAAGAGGCAGGGAAGTACAATGGATAGGGGCCAGACTTTATCAGTTCAAATCCTAGCTCTGCCAGGTACTGCCTGTGTGATCTCAGACCTCTCTGTGCCTCAGTTACCTCATCTGTGAAATGGCCACGGTGATAGTAACACCCACATCATAGGATTGCATAAATTAGTATATGTAAAGCACTTAGAAAGGGCCCCTGACACACCATGACTGACATGCAAGTTCTTGATATTAGTACTAGTTGGTTTTTTTTGTTTGTTTGTTTTTTAAGATTTATTTACTTGAGGGATCCCTGGGTGGTGCAGCGGTTTGGCGCCTGCCTTTGGCCCAGGGCGCGATCCTGGAGCCCAGGATCGAATCCCGCGTCGGGCTCCTGGTGCATGGAGCCTGCTTCTCCCTCTGCCTGTGTCTCTGCCTCTCTCTCTCAATCTGTGACTATCATAAATAAATAAATAAATAAATAATAAATAAATAAATAAATAAATAAGATTTATTTACTTGAGAAAGAGAGCGTGCATGTTAGCGTGGGGAGTGGGGCAGGACCAGAGGAGAGAAAATCTCAAGCAGACTCCATGCTAAGCATGGAGCCTGATATGGGGCTCCATCGTCGGACCCCCAGATCATGACCTGAGCTGAAATCAAGAGTCAGACACCCAACTGACTGAGCCACCCTGGCACCTCAGTACTAGTTTTTTAATTAAAGGAGATTGTATCTGGAAATAGGTTGGCACAGCACCTGGCAATTAGTAACTTCTAATTACTAGGTAAGGGTGTGGAATCCGGATCCAGCTGCCTGCCTACCTTCCTTCTGATCTCTGCTCTGCTCACTTACCATGTGTTCCTGGGTCATTAGTGCCTCTCTCCAAGCCACTCTGGACAGGTCCTGGCCCACAGGAAGCCCTCTGTACATTTTAGTTCTTCTTTATCACATTCACTTCAAGTTGATAATATAATCTAGGAGTATAGCAAAGGATTATATCAGTCTCAAATATACATAATAGCAATCCCCACAATAGCCCACATCGCCTTGGGAGTACAGGCTTAGGCCAGGCCTCCCAATCCACTGGCGCCTGGCTTGTCGCCTTGGCCAAGAAACTTCTGGCAGAGCCTCAGTCTCCTCATCTGTAAAGTTGAATAGTAGCCAGGAGCTTAGCCCAGAGCTCAGCATGTGAAGAAGCACTCAGCACAGGTAGTGAACTCAGCTGCCCGTAATTCCAGTAACGATCATTTCAACCACTATCCCCAGAAAGTTCTTGAAGAGGAGCTCGGCAGGGACTGGCGGGCCAAGGTGGCCTCTTTGGAGGAGGTGCCCTTTGCTGCTGCCTCGATCGGGCAGGTGCACCAGGGCACGCTGAGGGATGGGACGGAGGTGGCCGTGAAGATCCAGGTGAGGGGGGAGGCAGGGCAAGGGCGGGAGTGGGCACCCTGCTATCCCAGCCAAGTGACTTGCACCCCCTGTCCCTTCCTGCTCGCAGTACCCAGGTGTGGCCCAGAGCATCCAGAGTGATATCCAGAACCTGCTGGCGGTGCTCAGGATGAGCGTGGCCCTGCCAGAGGGTGAGGTGCCAGTCAACCCCTGGCTGTGGGAGGGATGCCCCAAAAGGAGAAGGTGGGACTGGACGGAGGGAAAGAGGCCAGCTCGGGGTGGGGGATGCCCATATGTATGAGTGTGGGCGAGTGTGTAAGTCCATGAGTCTGAGACAGAAAGCAGGGGTGCTGTGGCAGGGAGAGCCCAGAGTTTCAATGGGTCAGAAAAAGACAAACTTAGAGATTCTAACAGTCCCAGAGACAGAAGCCCACCCTGAAGTTCAGAAACAGACACACAGGGTGCTCAGAGAGGGATTGGAGGTCTGGAAAAGAGCCACAGAAGCAGGAGGTGGGGGTAAGCGTGACCCCGTGTGTGTGTGTGTGTGTGTGTGTGTGTGTGTGTGTGTGTGTGTGTTAGGTCTGGAAGTAAGATTTTGAGGCCATGAGAACAGTGTGAGAGATGGTGTGTGTGACCATGAATGAGATGCCTGGGGACTGGCATGTGTGCCTGAGAAGGAGACCCCCCCGGAGAGAGACTTCCGGAGAGGCTGCAGCTATATGAAGGACAGAGGGGAGGTGCGTGTGGATGGACAATGTAGTAAAAGGCCTGGAGCAGAGGTGTGAGGACCTGTGACAGACAGACAGGGAGAGACCTGATTAGCAAGAGAAGACATCGCTGAGTGGAAGCCTGGGGGGTGGCTGTCCTATGGGGACAGGCTGTGGCCTTCCCTGGCTGATGCAGCTGCCCCCTCAGGCCTGTTTGCTGAGCAGAGCCTGCAGGCCTTACAGCAGGAGCTGGCTTGGGAGTGTGACTACCGTCGTGAGGCAGCTTGTGCCCAGAACTTCAGGTGAGCTGAGCCCCCTGCAGGCTCCCCCAGGATCCCTCGCTTCGCTCCCAGGAGGAAGGGGAAGTTGAAGGCCTGGCAGCTGAAGGCCTGGGCCGGGGCTGGCAAACTCTTTTTCTCTTCATTTGCTCATCCATCCCTCTGTTTACTCCTGATGTCAGTTATCTTCCGTGTCCTCCGTGAGCTTGGGCCCATCACTTCCTCTCTGTCAGTTTTCTCATCTGTTAAATAGGATGCACAACCACCATGGTCTGGTGGGGGAGATGGATTTGTCAGCAGGTACTTAGTTATGCAGTGAGGTACCCCCACTGTTGGATGGATAAAGCATAAGCAGCGTGACAGTGTCATGAGGGGGAAAGAATGGGGCTCCGGGTCATCCCTTATACACTGTGGGCAGGAGGAGACATTGAGATAAGCATTTTGGAGAACAGTCTGGCCTCATCAAGGCCCAGTATTCACATAAAACCCCATAACCGCCCTCCTTGCAAACAAATGTTCTAGGGACACTTAGGCTGGTATATACATCAGCCTTTTCCAGAATGCTCAGAGCAGCAATCACCCCAAACTGGACACAACCCAAATCTATCAAATTCATCCAGCAACATAAATAAGTTACCGTATATTCACAGCAGACTATCATACAGCAGCGAAAATGCAGGAACTCAGCTATAGAGAACAATCTGGTTGTATCTTAGAAGCATCGTGACATGCAGCAGTTAATTACACCCAGTGAGACCCTCCACGGCATGGCCCACGGGTGTACGGAGCCAAGGTCTATAGATACAGAATGAGAGAAGGGGCAGTAGAAAGCAGTGGTTCAGGGCATGAGCCCTGGACTCAGATGTGGGATCCAGTCCCAGGTCAGCCCTCAATTGGCTGGGTGGCCTGAATCTTCACTCGGGAGAGCATCCTTCTTATATGGGAGTGAGGGGGGAAAAAGGGGGATTGTGTCAATTAAATGCTTGGCACAGAGCCTGGCCCAGGAGGAGCGGTTCAAATATCAGAGATTTTATAAACAAGGACAAAAATATACGCCCCCAGGTGGGACCCTGAAGGGTATGAAGTGGGCTGGGCCAGGGCACTTCTGTGTGGAGTATGGAAGCCCCTTCCAGGATTTCCCAGTGCCCTTAGAATAAAACTCCTATCGTTCCCCAGGCCCTGCCCATCTCCCTGCCCCCTGGCCCCCCCAGCCATCCCACAGCTCCCAACCATGGGTCTTGCTCATATTCTTTGCCTCCCAAATCTCATATTGACACACTTCACTCAATCTATTATTGGTCCATTTGTATATTTGTTAGAATATGGTCTCTGTGTCTAGGGGATGCAGGCTCAGAGCTCATCCACTGCTCTGTCACCCAGCATCATCTAGGACAGAGACACCAAGGAATCAGTATTTTTTTTTAAAGATTTTATTTATTTATTCATGAGACACACACACAGAGGCAGAGACACAGACACAGGCAGAGGGAGAAGCAGGCCCCATGCAGGGAGCCCGATGCGGGACTCGATCCCGGGTCTCCAGGATCCGGCCCTGGGCTGAAGGCAGTGCTAAACCACTGAGCCCCCCGGGCTGCCCCCAAGGAGTCAGTATGTATTAACAGTGTTCAGAGTAATGACTCCAAGGAGTAGCCAAGGAGTATCACTATGGACTTGGAGATTTGTATATCGGCCACTCTGGTTTTGGATGGATTACATAATAAATTGATGAAAAAGTAATGCTCATCAGGCTTAATACATTGAGCTCTATCCTGGGGGCAACCGGAAGTCATAGAAATGTTTCCGGTAGGGAAGTGGTAACTGGGGCTCCAGTAGCACCCACCTTAGGGGTGGGCACAGAGTAGGTTCTAAGGAGATATTTGATGAATGAGGGAATGAATGAATGATTGAAATGTCTGAATTAATGTCAGTCTGGCTAGGTATTGACCATTACTTGGGACAGACATGCACAAGGAGGGAAGGCAAGACCTAGACTTTTCAGAGTACTTCTCAAAGGAAGAGGAGGAGGCCTTGAGCGGGCCACTGAGGCCTGAGGCATGAAGTCCCACCCCTTTTGCCCCAGGCAGTTGTTGGCAAATGACCCCTTCTTCCGGGTGCCTGCTGTGATTAAGGAGCTGTGCACAACTCGGGTGTTGGGCATGGAGCTGGCTGGAGGGGTCCCCTTGGACCAGTGCCAAGGCTTGAGCCAGGACATCCGGAACCAGGTATGGGGTCTCAGGATGGGAGGGCGGGTCTAGTAGGGTGGATAGACCCACAGTCCCTCTCCAGGCCAGAGAGAGCTCTATAGGGGCAGATGACTCTGAAATGTCTGTTACTCCTCCCCACTCCAGATCTGCTTCCAGCTCCTGAGGCTGTGTCTGCGGGAGCTGTTTGAGTTCCGATTCATGCAGACAGACCCCAACTGGGCCAACTTCCTGTATGATGCCTCCAGCCACCAGGTTGGTTCCTTGTGATGTGTATCGTGGTACATAGGCTGCTTTAACAGATAAGTTTCCCATAATTCAGTAGCTCAACACAGTAGTAGTTATAACCCACATAACAGGCTAGAGTGGCTGTCCTCTACATGTGACTCAGGGACCCAGGATCCTTCCCTTCTGTGATTGCACCATCCCCTAGGTCTGTTCTTCCAGTGAAAGGGGGAAGAGAGGTCAAGAGGGTAGCACCCTGTCTAATTGCTTTGGCTAGAAGTGACACATCATTCTGTACTGTTCCATTGATAAGAACTGGTCACAAGGCCTGTCTAGATGCAAGGGATGCTGGAAAATGGAATCTGCTGGGAAATGGGTACCCTAGCGGCACAATTTTTGGAAGGCAGTTAGTCATCACTGCTGCGCTCTGCATTGATTTAACACACCAAGCATCTGCTGCCCCTTGACAGTAATGCCAAGACAACCCTGATCCTCACCTTCTCAGAATTCCCAGTCCAGGAGAGGGATCCATGACCAGATGGTGATGACCAAGTAGTTATAGTACCATGACGGGCAAGCATAGGCCAGAGTGGGCAGTGATTGGGGGGGCATAGGCGGGCTGTGGGGACCCAGGAAACATGCCTGACTCAGCACAGGATAGGTGAAGTCAAGGAAGACTTCTGGAAGAAAGTGCCATTAAAGTTGAAACCAGAAAGATGAGAAGGGGTCAGACACCTGAGCAGGGAAGAATGTCCCCGGCAGAGGGCACAGGGTGGCCAAAGGCCTGGGGTAAGAAAGACTCAGTGAGCCTGGCTGCCAGGTGGCTCTCCAAAGAGGTCTATACCCATTCTGTCCCCAGAAGAATCTTTTGAAAACACAAATCTGGCCAAGCTGTCCCTTCCACAGCTCCCTATGCACCTCAGGAGCAGGTCTGAGTCCTCTGCTGAGCGCAGTGTGGTCTCACTGAGTCTCCAGCCTCAGCCTCTTGCCACCGCCTCCATGCCAAGTACACAGATAGCCTGTGTCCCTGCTGGGCTCACATCACTAGGAAGTATTTTTCTAACTCAGGGTAAGGGGGGTGATTATAGGAGTCCTGACATCAATTTATTGGGTCTCAATGGCATTTTTTGTTTTAAAGCCGTAAAATGGAAGATATCAGTGTGTCACAGATGGGAGGGATCCACATTATTTCGGGACGCTTTTGTTTGACCTTATATTTGCGTGTGGCTGGGCACTGGCACCCAGTTCAATCTGTATTTCTTACTGCAGTATGTGATCAATAGTGTGAACTCCACTGCCCTAGAGAAACTCTTAAACACCTGCCCATTGGGCACTGTTTTAAATAGCAAACAACCAGTGTCCATCGGCCAGATAAACACACTGTGATGTATTCACACGATGAAGTCCTTACACAGCAGTGAAAACATGAATGAGCGAGGGCTGCGCAGAGCAATGGGAATTAATTGCAAAACCATGTCGAGCACAAAAGACTAGCCTAATTGCAAAACCATGTCGAGCACAAAAGACTAGCCATAGGATAACATAAATATCATTTATGTGAAGTTTTATTTTATTTATTATTATTTTTTAATTTATGATAGTCACACAGAGAGAGAGAGAGAGAGAGAGAGAGAGAGAGGCAGAGACACAGGCAGAGGGAGAAGCAGGCTCCATGCACCAGGAGCCCGACGTGGGACTTGATCCCGGGTCTCCAGGATCACGCCCTGGGCCAAAGGCAGGCGCTAAACCGCCGCGCCACCCAGGGATCCCCATTTATGTGAAGTTTTAAAACACACAGAGTATTACTATTTGTTGTTCCCTCAGCACACACGTATGTAGAAAATGTAGAAATGCACACATGGGAATTTCAGGAAATAATACCTGAGTATTGACAATCTCAGGAGAGTGATGACCCTGGAAGAGAGGATGGGGACACTGGGGAGGTTGGATCAGGCCGGGGTCTGTGGGAGGCTCCACTCGGATTGGTCATATTTAAAATTAAGGTGGGTGGTGGGATTTGTGAGTGTTCGTTTTACTTTTCCACATATTTTTTATTATCCTTCAGATTTTTTCTATGCCTAGAACATGCTATTATAAAAATAATTAGGGCCAAACATATAAAAGTCAGGTCCCTTCAGTTTCATGTGGGGGTGGATGGGAAGTGTGGAGACCGGAAGCCAGGAACCCAGGCAGGCAGCCAGGCAGGGACTCTGTCAAGAGAGGTAGGGTGTAGGGATGGACCGGGCATCCTCACCTCAGACCGTGGGGACTGGTGGTGGACTCCCAGCATCCCTTTCACCATCCTTCGTCCCAGGTGACCCTGTTGGACTTTGGTGCAAGCCGGGAATTTGGGACCGAATTCACAGACCATTACATCGAGGTGAGTCCTTCCAACCCTGGGGTGTTTGAAGGGCCTCAACCCTGATACTGAGGTGAGGGTGAGAAGGGGAAATATAGTATCTGGAAGTAAGAGATCATAAATAATAGTAATAGTAATAGCTAATAAATGCAAAGCTCTCGGGACACCTGGGTAGCTCAGCGGTTGAGCATCTGCCTTTGGCTCAGGAGGTGATCCCAGGATTCCGGGATGGAGTCCCACATCAGGCTCCCTGCATGGAGCCTGCTTCTCTTCCTCTGCCTGTGTCTCTGCCTCTCTCTCTGTGTCTCTCATGAATAAATAAATAAAATCTTTTTAAAAAATTAAAAAACAAAAGCTCTCAATATCATGTCAGGTACTCTTCTAGGTGCTATCCATGTGGTAACTGAGCTAAACTATAGAGCAACTCTATGGGGCCAGGACCATTTTTAAGCATTTAAATTAATTAATTAATTAATTAATTTATTTATTTATTTATTTAAGACAGAGAGAGACACGAGTGGAAGGGAAGGAGGGGCAGAGGGAGAAGCAGACTCCCCACTGAGCAGGGACCCCAACTTGGGGCCCAATCCCAGGACCCCAAGATCATGACCTGAGCTGAAGGCAGATGCTTCACCAACTGAGCCACCCAGGTGCCCCAGGTTAGGAACATCTTTGGTGCCATTTTACAGATGAAGTTACTGGAGCTCAGATAAGTTCAGTCACTTGCCCTAGGTCACAGCAGACCTAGGATCCAGACTCAGGGAGCTTAGGTCCAGAAGCCATGCTCCCAAACTCTCACTGGCCCCTGATGGCCCACAGTGGCCATCCTGCCACCTCCCCACACCCCAGGCTGCCCTGGGTGTTTGGCCTTACACTCACATACCTCCCTGGCCAACTGCTCCCTGAGGGGGCAGCTCTCCCCTCAGGAACGTCTGTTACCCGTCCTTCCCACCCACCTGCCTAAGGCATCGCATTAATTTATTGAGTCTGGCTATATGACCTGGGTCGTCTACTCATTTACTCATCACTTCCAGAATTCTCTGACACCCCTCTGTGCCCAGCCCTGTTCTGGGCAGTACCAACCCAGTGAGCAACGCAACCCAGTCTCTGCCTTTACAGATCTTACAGACCAGGACGGGGATAGACAGTAAGGACCCAGAGTGGTCAGGGCTGGATCAGGGAAGCACAGCAGACTGGAAACCCAGAGTTGGAGCCTGAGCCAGCCTAGGGGGTCAGGGAGAGCTTCCTAGAGGAAGAGGTATAGTTGAGACCCAAGGGATGAGGAGACCAATTAGGAAGAGGCAAGGTGGGTATTCCAGACTGATAAACATACAAAGGCCAAGAAGAGAAAAGGGATAGTCCCAGTAGGGCAGCACTTCTTTGTCTATGAGACACCTACCACCCCCACTACCGGCATGGTCCTACTAAATGTGGTCTGGAATCCGGCATAAGATACTGCGTTTCTAACACACTCCAAGGTGATGCCAAAGCTACTGGTACAGGGACCACACTGAGTAGTCGGTCCTAGAGGACCAAAAGGAAATTCATTTCTGACTGGGCCAGCAGGTGAGGGATGGGGCAGGACCCAGCAGCCAAATCACTCTGAGTCTGAAAAGCCATGCTTTGCGCTTTGTACTTTCTCCAGGTGCTGTGAGGACCCACGGGTGGGACAGAGAGATAGACAACTCTCAGGATAGCAAGTAGCCTTTGAGACTGGGGGCTGGGAGCCCAGAGAAGAGAAGAGAAGACAAAGCTCAGGGCTCTGACTTGGGGACTGGGGGATGGTGGGGCCACCCCTGACATAGAGACAGGAAGGAGGAGCTGGCAGCCCCTCTACCCACACACACACATCCGCACAGGCTCCTTGGGCCCTCCCTCCAGGCCACTTGAGGCACAATGCCAGGGCCCTAGTCTCTGGGTAGCTGGAGCATTTTATGTGTCCCTCCCTCCCCAGGCCTATTTGGCATGGCTGTCCTCTGGGCTCCCCAGCCTTTTCCAGTTTAAAAAAGCCCCATCACACCAGTCCCTGAGGACCGCAGGCCTGACAGATGGCCAGACAGGCTCGGGCTGGGGGAGCCGAGACAGACTAGAACTGCCAGATTGAATCCTGTACTCCCCTTCCTCCCAAGAAAGTGGTTAAGGTTTTCATTTCTCGTTTGCCATTCCCCACTCAGCCTTTTTACTTTCCTGTGAAGCAGGGACCTTCCCATCCATCTCCTAATAATTGTAGCTCATCATGGTTATGGCTCTCCCTACATGCAGGCAGATAGCTCCTCCTGCCTCCCTACAGCCATCCAAAAGCAAGAGACTCTCATTACCCCTGCTTCACAGATAAGCAAAGAGGCGGCCCAAGGCAAAGCACCTTACCCAGAATCTCTCAGCCCGCAAGTGGCAGAGCTGGGACAGAGCCCCAGGAGGCTGCCTCTGATTCTATCTGCCCTCAACCTGATTCCTGCTCTCCCTAAACTCACCCGTGGTTGGAGAGGGGCGTCGCTCCACAGCTGATTTGCCAAACAGGTTCACCAAGGGTCTCCTTAATGCCAGACCCTGTGCCACAAGTCCAGCTGGGACTAAGGCCAGTGGGGATCCCTGCTGTCTTGGGGCTCCAAGCCCAGTGTAGGAGACAGATGTCCACCAGGCATTTACAGAGATGCACAGTGGCAACCTTAGATGCAGTTCCGGGCCACGGTCACATTCTTGTCCAGCTGAGTGTTTGGACCACCCACAAATAGCACTTGACATTTATTTTCCTCTGGCTGTTTCACTGTGCTCGTTTCTAGGCAGTCTCTACATTCCAGGCCAGGTGGGCAGAACCCCAGACCACCCTCTTACCTCCCCTCCATACGCCAGGCTCTGCAACAGTCCTGAGGGAGACATAGACAGGGGCAAGGTGGGGAGGGAGAGGCTTTTAGGGGAGAGGGCCTAAGTAGAAGAGAAGGTAGCAAGGGCCAGACCCCTCCTTGAACCCTACTCCCTTAGCCTTTGACCTCTGTCAAACACCCATTTCCCCAGGTGGTGATGGCAGCAGCTAATGGAGACAGAGACCGGGTCCTGAAGAAATCCCGAGACCTTAAATTCCTCACAGGCTTTGAAACCAAGGTTGGAAACACTGCAGGGCTTGTGGGGCTGCTTATTTTTACTGGGGGGCTCCGAGGACTGGAGGGGAGTGGAGACTGCTTGGCTACTGAGAGACCCTGGGGAAATGGGCCCCATTTATCTACTCTAGAGGGAGGGAGTGGGGGACTCCTAGTGGGTACTGGGGGTGGGGAAGTGGAGGCTGTTAGTTCTAGAGAGAGGGTTATTTGTCCACTGGAGGCTCTGAAAGGAAATAAAGGGACATTTTGGGGAGGTCTAGGGGCTCTGAAGAAAGTAGAGGTTGCTTATTACTCCTCAGGGAGCAGGGGGCTTGTGTTTATACTTGAGAGTATGAGGGAAACGAGGGTCCCTCTGGGTTAAGTGGAGGGCTGTACCTCCACACCGCGTGCCTCTTGCTCTGTCCTGTCCATAGGCATTCTCGGATGCCCACGTGGAGGCAGTGATGATCCTGGGGGAGCCCTTTGCCACCCAGGGCCCCTATGACTTTGGGGCAGGTGACACTGCCCGCCGAGTGCAGGGCCTCATCCCCGTGCTGCTGCAGCATCGGCTGCGCCCACCACCGGAGGAGACCTATGCCCTGCACCGCAAGCTGGCAGGGGCTTTCCTGGCCTGTGCCCGCCTCCGCGCCCACATCGCCTGCCGGGACCTCTTCCAGGACACCTACCACCACTACTGGGCCAGTCGCCAGGCATAGCCACTGCCTGCAGCCTCCAGACCAAAAGAGACATCTGATCAGACCCCTTAGACCACCTCCATCCCCGGATTCCGGCCCCAAAGCCGGCCATCCCCTGCTGGGATGCCTTCTTTCCATTCTCCTGCAGGTCGGGGACCACCCACTTGGGCTTCCCAGTCTTGCCCTAGCTCCCTTCCTGGGGGCTGGGGAACCCTCAGGCTAGGGAACTCCCATATCTTGCTCTTCACACTCCAAAGTGGGCATCCAGGAACTCTGCGCCAGGGATTAACTTATTTTTGCCAACATGAAGAGCCTTAGGTCCCCTGCCCGCTGATGTGCAGATCCAGACTCATCTAGATGTAGAGCCCCTCACCTCTGCCTCAGGTCTCCCAGGGATCTGGCCAATGAAAAGGGAGGGACGGTGGTTGGTGGAGGCAGCCCTCACCTTTGCTGTCCTCAGCCCTCCGCCAGCTGCGTTCTCGCAGTTCTCCGTGGCTCCATCCCTTCTGTGTGTCGGGGAGGGGGTAGGGAGGGTGTTTGAAACTTCAGACGGAATAAAAGCGGCCCTCCCCTTCCCGGCTCCTTTCTCTGCGCTGGTGGGGGGGGGGGGAGCTCTCAGCCTGCCTCCAGGTGCAGATGGCCAGCCCCCTCCCATCCTCTGGTCTGAAAGCCCCAGCCCAGCCTGGGCCATCTGTTGCCGGGAACCTCCTTCTACCCTTTCCCTCCCACCCTCCCGCCCCTCCCGCACGTGCTGACCACCTGCTCGGAGGGCTGTGGCAGCTGAGAAGGTCTGCCCACCCCCCCTCCCAGGCTCCGCGCTCCCTCCCCTCGGCTCCCAGCAACCTCGCCTTTGCTAATGGGCCGTAATGCCCCTGCCAGCTGCTTTGCCAAACCCACAGGACTGAGTGGGAGCGGGGGTGCGGTGGCGGCCAGAACCGCGCCCCGGTCCCAGCTTGGTGCTCCCGCCCCCAAAGCCGAAACGCTCGCGCACTAGGACGCCGGGGTCTCCTCGTTCCCCCTCCCCTTCCTTGCAAAAAGTGCCTCGTCACCGCTTCTGCCCGCCCCCGCTGGGCTGGGAGAAATCGTGGGGTTAGCTGGAAGATTTGGGTATGTGGGGCGGCAAAGAGCTTCCCGAAGCAACTCTTTCACGGACGTGGAACAGAAGGGGGCCTGGGGTCAAGGGTCACCGAGGGGAAGAGAGCCCACGCCTGGATGGGCCTTGGGGAAGGTCTCAGCGAGGCTCACATGCCGGCTCAGCCAGGGACTGGCCAATGGGCGTGGCGGGGCGGTGGCCGCACCAGGGAGGGCGGGGCCGAATCTGCGTGTGGGCGGGGCCGGTGGCCCAGGGGGTGGGGCCTGGGCCGGGCTGGCGCCGGGCCGGGGCGGGGCCTTCTTGCAGATCCCGCAGGCGGCGGGCCAATGGGCGGGGCCGGGGCGGGGAGCCGAGGCGGGAGGGGCGCTCCCCCGCCCCCGGAACGGAATCCTCCGGGGAGCGGAGCAGGCTCGCGCGCGTGCATCCCGCACCATCCCCCGGCCCCCGGCCCCGGCCCGCGTCAGATCGAGCTGCCGCCGCCGCCGCAGCAGCAGCAGCAGCGCTCGGGGATCCGGGCCCAGCCGGGGCCGCGGGAGGCGGGGGCGCCCGGGCCCTGGATGTCCCGCAGCGCGGCGGCCAGCGTGAGAAGGGCGGGAGAGGGGGACTCGGGTGGGGGGCGGCGCCGCTGCTGATGTGGCGGAGGGTGGGAGGCGGCCGCGGCGCCCGGATGGAGCTAGGGTGCCAAGGCTGGGGAGGGTGGGCCCGGGTGGGGGTCCAGAACGGGCCCCCACCAAGCAAAAGCTTGAGAGACGGGGGTCCGGGCACAGGCCCCCTCTTGCCCAGGCCCTGGAGATAGGGCTCGTGGATATAGACCTGGCCCTCAAAAAAATCAAGGACAGGGGGACAGATTCTAGGTACAACTCCCTGGGCAAGGTTTTGGGGATAGGGTCCAGGACACAACCCCCACATCAAGCCAAGGCCTCCAGGAGGCAATTCCAGAGCAGACGCAATCCCTACCCCTCCCTGCCTGAAGTGGTCTCTGAGCACAACCCTCTAGACAAGGTCTTGAGGATGGGGTCCCTGGGCACAGCTTCCCCACCAAGCCAAGGCCAGGGTGGGGGGATTCCGGGCATAGTCTGTACCCAGGCCTCAGAGACGTCCTGGCCACAGCATCTCCCCCAGTCCTTGGGCGGTGTCCCAGGGATAGCCCCTTCTCGAAGCAAGGTCCCTGTGCCTGGGACTTCACCCCCCACCCAGCCTGAATAAAATAGGGAAATTTCAGGCAACCCCCAAAGGCTTGTCAAGTGTCCCTGGGGCTGCCCAGCTGCCTGGGAGCGCCCCCCTCCCCCCACAGACAATGCGCCGCCTCCCCCTCCTGGGTATGGCCCCCCAGGCTCCACCATTCAGGCTGGGGGTGGGGGGCGGCTCCCCAGGGATGGAGCGAAGCCCTATCTGTCTGCAGCGTCTGCGGGTGTCGGCGGCTTTGTGTGTGGTACCTGGGGGGAAGCAAGCGATGGGGAGGTGGCTAGGAGTGTGACCCGGTGTTTATGTGACTGTGGCTCTGTGTGCGCGCTCATGTGTGCTGGAGCTGAGGAATCCTGTGCGTGTGTTTTGTGCTTGTGGTTGTGTCTAATAATGCGTGCGATTGTGTCTGTATGTGACCCCAGCATTTGTGTGACTATATGTGTGTGTGACAGCTGCTCCTTGTGCAGAACCCTGTACTTTTTAGTCTGTATTTGAGTGTGTGTGTGCATGGTTGTGACTGTGTGGTTGTGTCTGTGATTACACCTTTTGTGACCCTGGCATGTGCTTCGGTAACTATAACTGGATTGTGACAGTGTGTGTGGGGTTTGGGGTTGGGCAAGTGTGTGGCTGACACTCTATAGGTGGAGTTGGGACTGTGTATGTAGAGTTGTGTCTCTGACTCTATGTCCATGTGCCTCCCTCCCAATGACTTGTGAATGTTTGTGGTTGCATCTATAACTGATTGTATATGTGGGTCACACGTGTCTGTATGACACACAACTGTCCCTGCAACTCTGGGTAGTGCCTGCCATTGCATATGGAGTCACACTGTGCCTGGTTGTGTGATGGCACTGTGACTTGTATGACAGTGGTTGTGTGTTCACGACCACATCTAGGTACGTGACCAGGTACAAATGTCTCCATCTAGCTCTGTGTTTTGATACTGACTGTGCGGTTTTATAGTTGTGTCTGTGTGTGGTTTGGGTTAAATATCAGAGTAGGGGTCTGAACCCCTGACTGATTATTTTAGAGGGTTATTTCATTGCGTGTGAATCAAGCTCTAGTTGTGTTTATGTGAGATGGCACCAGGTAACTGTGTTGTGGGGGTGGGGGTATGTGTGATTGTGGCTTCTATATTTGTGTTTGACCTGCATGTCTGTGACCGTGGGTGAATATATGTACTTGTGTCTGTGTCATGGCCTATGAGAGTGTGTGTGTCTATAGCCGTGTGGCTGCCTGGTGTGTGTGTGTGTGTCCCTATGTGCACGATGGACTGCATGTGTTTCCATCTGTGTGATTTGGTGACGGGGTGACTATCCTGACTGTGTATATGGCTCTACCAGGAACCGTGTCTTCTGTGTAAACGCAGCTAGAAATGCTGTGTGACATAGAAACTGTGTGCTGATGTCTCTCTGTGAGATACTGTGTGTCTGTCCACATGGGACTGTGATTGTACGTGGCCACATGCTTATCCCTGTGACCTGTGCATTTGCATGAGGAAAGACTATAAGTTTGCAGTGGGGTGACGTGGTGCCGCCAGGTATGGGACATTGGGTGACTGTATAATGGCCATGGTGTATGGCTGGGTAATGTGGACACTGATGCTGTGTGACTTCACACACACAGCCATTTCTGAAATGGTGTATGGCTGTGACTCAGCCAGCAACCGTCTGGCTGTACCTGAGTGTGGCCATCCTTAGGGACAGTTGTCTCTGGGTGCTTCTGTGCACGTCTTCAGTGTGCGTGCCTGTTTCTCTAGAACTCATAGGCCACAGCCATCTGTGTCCCTGGTGATTGGTTAGGGGAGACTATCCATGTAAGTGTGGCTGATACTGTGACCACATGTGTGTCCCCATGACTGGGTGTGTGTGACTGTGACAGCATGTGACCAAAACAGTGTGTTGGTGTGGCTGCTATGGTTGGGGCTGAGTATCCACGTGCAGCCTTGTGCCTGGAGATGATTAAGCACATGTGGCTGTGACCGGGTGTGGCAGCGTGGAACCAAATGTGTGTCAGTGTCATCTGCATGCACCCATGACCAGATGTCAACGTACACCAGTGGAGCTGTGTGTGACAAGTGTGTGTGGCTGTGACTGTGTCTGTGTGTGACTCTGTGCTGGTGGGCGACCTCTGACTTGGGGAGGTGACATTCTAGGTGTGATTCTAGGTGCTGCGACAGGAGTACCTTGGGCAGGAGCCTGGGGAAACGTCATTGGGAGTGGTTGTACGCATGTCACTCTGGCGGGTGTGCCTGGACCCGGCTCTGGGTATGTGGAGAAAATAGAAGTGACCAAATACCCAGTAGCTGATGTGACCAGATGTTTGTGGCAGTGCCTAGCGGGGCTGGGACTTGATATTCAAGCGGACAAATGTCTGTGTCTGTGAACATGGATATGTGACCGGGTGGTTATAGTGGCTGCCACCGTGGATGTGTATCTGTGTGATCTGGTGTGTGCAGCTGTAGCTGTGGTGGTGCCTGTGTATAACCACACGTGCAGAGCTGTGACCAGGTGCCAGGGACAACTGGAGACATGAGCCACGTGCATGCATGCATGTGACTGTATGTTTCTGTGGAGCCTGGACAAGTGTCTAGAGGTCAAGGCCACTCCCTCCTCCCACCATCCCCTTGGGTACTGAGGACCTCCTGAGGCCAGGGCATCCCCACACATGTGCCAGGAAACACACCTACTCATTCCTGGGCCCCTGCTACCAGGTGGCTGGTCTCCCTAGTAACAGTTGCTATGACAACCGGGGCTCTCCCCAGGGAGCCTGAGATGGAGGGGGGGGCGTTGGCTGTTGTCCAAAGAGGGGGTGAAGTAGGGGACTGAGCCCCAACCCAAGCCAGTTTCTCACCTTCTCCTCCCTTCCTTGGGCAGGGCGGACCCAGGAGGCCTGAGCAGCATCTGCCCCCAGCCCCCTGTGGGGCCCCGGGGCCCCCCGAAACCTCCAGGACGGAGCCAGGTGAGTGACCAGCTGGGGCCAAGGCAAGGGCTGAGTGAGTGCGTGGGTCTGCCTAGGACGACGAGAGGAACTGTCCCTGTGCTCACACAGGCTTAATCACACTCACGAGGGGATGCCCTCAAACATCTTCCCTGCACACTCAGTGACCATCAGTCACCCCCTCACAGATAACACGTGTGAACACACTCTCACAGACACAATCTCATGTTCTCACACATCTGCCCAGACACTTGGTTGCATATACAAACCCTCAGAACAACGCTCATGAACTCACACTCTGGACAACAACCACATGCTCTGACACAGACACATCCTCTCAAACAAAAGCCACAGCCACACA